ATTTGAATTTGATTTGGAGTAGTTATTTCGACTATTTGGTCTATTGTAATGATTTTGTGACGAATTTTGTGTATTTCTTCGTTCTGGTGATCTTCCTCTATAACTTGAGTTATATGGTGATTGATTTCTCGTGTAATTGGTATTGTTCGGAAGTGGTTTTCCTGAACTGTTGTTGCTGTATACATTTTTGTTCGGTAGATTTTGATCTTTCTTCATGTATTGATAGAATGATTTATTTGGTTCTTTATATTTTTGAGGTTTGTTTTGATTGTCCTGTTGTTTTTGTCTACATTCGGAAATACTATGTCCGTATCGTCGGCAATAATTACACCATTTTTTGAAAGATGGTTTGCCTTTAAAGTTTGGGTGTTTTTCATAAATATTGAGTATTTCAGTGATTTTTTCAACGAGGTCTGTATCTGAATCCTGTATATTATTGATATTTGTGGTATTTGTTTCAATTCGATTAACATATTGTAATTTCAGATTCTCTGTTTCTTCAAGTTTCATTGTGATTTCCGCTTGCTCTAGCTTGTCTACTAGTTTTCGAAAATCTAAATCGGGCTCTCGAATTGAGGAGGGATGGGATGCTCTCTTTTTTATTGCTATTTTCCTTAATTGAGGTGTTAAGGTCATCATTAAGATTTCTGTCATTTTTGTGTTTTTATAATCGTGTTTATTTAATGAATATGCTTTTCGAACTAGTGTTTCGATGCGTACTGCTAATTGTTTGATGGTTTCATTTGGTAATCTGCGAATTTCATTACATAAAACTCTTTGTTGTTGTTTGTTTCTTTCGGAGTCAAACATTTTTGAAAATTCTTGTGTAAATCTCTTCCAATTTGATTTTATTTCTATAGGCAATACTGAAAACCATTTTTGGGCTGCGCCGTCTAGGGTTGTTTGTATCAACGCTGTGCGTCGATGTATCCAATTTTGATGTAGTGGCGTATTAATTGGTTCAGGTCCTATATTTAAAATTAAATTTGCTGTTACTGCATTTAAATAATCTTCTACAGAATATTCAGGGTCTGTTCCTGTGAATACCATTAATGGTTTGTTTGATGTTATTGATGATCCACCCATAAGGTATGGATTCATTGTCATTTGTAGTGATTCTGCTGCATTTGGCATTTGTGAAAAATTAGAAAGTTGATTTTTTGTTATTTCGTGTTGTTGAAGATAATATGGAAGTGGTATTTCATTTTGCATTTGTGTTGGTTGATATGAGTGTGTAATCATTGGGTTTTGTGGCTGAATTGGTTGAAAAGATTGTGTATTAATTGGGTTTTGCATTTGTATTGGTTGTTGATTTTGTGTATCTATCTGGTGTGGAGAAAAATTTCTATGATGTGTATATGGTTTCTGCATTCCTTGTCCGTGATATTCTTGGGTATATGGTGCAAATATATCTGGTTGTAAATGATCATCATCAGAGGATAGGTAATCCGTTTGATGAGGTGCTTGTTTTTTATTTTTATTCTGTTGAAAGAATGGGTAATTTTCACTATAATCCTGTGGAGGATGTGGATTAGCTTGAAAATTTACTGAATTGGTTGTTGCCATTGGATTATTCCAATATCGAGATCTGATTTGATTATTATTATTATTTCGTGGAGGATAGTTTGTTTTTGATGAATGTGTATAATTATAATTATGTTCCGCAAAATTGTTTCTTGTGAATGTTCTGCGTGTTTTCGACGGTATTGTCATGGGTCTATATGTTTGGTAATCCATTTGTGAATATTTTGGAGCAACCGAAGGTTTAACGGTTGATTGTAAGGTTACCTGTGCTAGTGAAGTGTTTGTATTTCTTGGTGTTGTTAAATTTGGACGTATTGGTGAAATACTTTGTTGTGTAGTTGTTGTTGTTTGGACAATTTCTTCATTTATGAAGTGTGATGGTGTCTGAATATCTTGTTGAGTGAGATTTCTAGTTCCATTAAGGTTTTCATTGTGTATGACGGTCGAATTTAAACTGTTATTTCGAGTATCAGGTAAAAATGTATTGTAGTTGAATGGTGTTGCGTCAATGGTTAATGGTACTACTCTTACATAATCTCTTGTATAAGATATTGTACTTATTGCTTGGCTTGCAATTGATTGTGGGATATTTATAAATGCATAATGAGACCATTCGGGGTCCCAAACGTAGTCTGACTGTTCTGTGATGGCGGTATCATCGTTTGAATTTTGAGGTCTAAAATTTTTTCTTGCTTGTGAAATTAAATCTATATTATGTGTGAAATAATCTATTATAAACCATGCCAAAATTTTTTGTAAGTCATGTTTTGTATGTTGTGAAACATCATCTTTGGTGAAATTTTCTTTAATTATATGTAGAAAAGTTGAAAATAGTGTGATTTTATGTCGTACCTTTATATGTTTGGATGTCTCTGTCGGTGAGACATTTGAGATTGGGATTTCGTTTTCTAATATTGAGATATAACTATATATTATTGCAAAAACTTCATTAGTAAATATGGAATTTGCTCTTTGTGAGTTATGATATTGTATGCTTTTTATATATTCTGAGAATACTTTTGAAAATTCTAAATCAAGGTTGTTTGTTTGAATTACATATTTGCGGTGATTCGGGTTTGGTGAAGTGATTTCTATGGTGTAGATTCCGTAGTGTTGTGTCAAATTACATATATCTTTCAGATAATGATCAATAATTTGTCTTTTGATCTTTACATCGGGGAACTCTGCTGTACATGGGCTGATTCCGGGTTCAAATAAATTTAGTAGTAAATTCTTGCAAAGTATATGCTGTCCTCTATCAGTGGGTGCATCTACGAGGAAGGGGAAGATATCGTCATCATCTGGACTATCTTCACTTGGAGTGTGTGTTTGGCTCATTTTTCCGTTTAATGACTGTTAATAGGTAATTATCGATGTGTCTAATTGGTTGATTCCAGTTATATAAATGTACTGGTTTGTGTTTATATTGCTTTTTTATTCGTCTTTTTCCTCTTTTTGATGAATTTGATGTTGTTTCTGAGTCAGAAAAATATAATTGATCGTGTATGGGGCAATTTTTATCTATAGATTCTTTTAATTTATAGAGTTCGTCTAAATTGCTGGCTTCTGATTCTGAAAATTCGTTTCTATTTTTGGAAAATCTTTTTCGTGTTATTTGTCTTTGTTTCGTTATTATTTTTCTTTTTAGTGTTTGTCGTTTTGTTCTAATATATCCAACTGTTTGTGTGTGAGGTGTGATTACAAGGTCGTATTTTTTGTTTTCTATTTCACAGTTGTGCAAAACGATTGTTTGTTTGTTTCCTAGATTTTTAAATGACAAAGGGTTTAGGATGACGGATGCAAAAAGTTGTTAGATGATTTCTATTTTCTTAAATTGTTAGTCCTTACGATTTTTTGGTTAGCTTAACCTGGGTCTATTTGTTCAGGGTTGGAGAGAAAAGTAATTCGATTCCGAAGAATGATTGTTACTTTCTCGTGGCTAGTATAAGCTAAGGTGTTAACTTACTTAATCTTACTTAGGGGTAGTGATTGTGTTCAAGGGTTGGAGAATAGTAAATCGATCCACAAGGTTCAGGTATAATTAGAACGCGAGTAGTTCGTTAGATACTATTTTAAACTTACTAAGTCTATGATTTATCCTGGGTCTTGATAAGAGGAGGGTTCAAGTGAAGGATGAATAACCGAAGTTTTTCACTGTTTATCCTAATTTGAATGGTTAGTTTTGTTGAAAAATTTCTATTAGTCTTGGGTTTTTTGAAAGGGTTGGATAGTGAATCGACGTTTGAGGTCGTTAGACACTAGCTAAGTGGGTGGGGGAGAAGAAATTTGTTCTTTTTGATCCAAGGATAGTCCTTGATGATCAAGTGTAAATTTTAACTGAATAGAGAATGAATTAAGATCCAAGGATAAGCCTTGATGATCTGATTTGAAAATTAAGTGAATTTAAGTTTAAAATGGTTTAAATTTGTTTAAGGAAAAGATTTAGTGTTTTAATGATATTAGTGAGTTTATGATTGCTGTTATGTTTTAGGTGATGAAGCTGGGACAATTGGATAATTTATAATTACTAACAGTTTATTGTCATGCTACTAATTTTTGTTTTGAATTTCAATAAATATTTTCCAAATATGTTTTACAGAAGACTGCAGAATTTTAGGAGAACGATCTGAGATCTTTTTATCAATCGTTATTGTATATTAAAATTTTGTTTAGCGCCTGAAATGATCATGAAGATTGACTTCAAGATTTAAGTTTGCAAATGAAAATCTAAATTCATTGCTAATAAGATTCTAAATATAAAAGTTTGTGTTGGCTTTTGCCGCACTATCATATAACTATTTGGTAAGTTTCTATTTTGTCGTATGTCGTCTCTGGTTCGAGGTCTTCTTCCAATTCCGGGTAGTACTCTTATCGTTCGGAATATTGGCTTTGATCTATTGAGTCGTAGAGACATTTCGATTAAATTATCGTCGTGTAACATTTTAAAAAGGTTTTGTCTAATTTCTAATCTATTTTTGGTTAATTCTAAGCTATTAAGGTCTTGTTCGAGACTTATGGTCGCACCAGATGAGTTATAACCGAGGTGGTTAACTCATAGAGTAATTTCGGATAGGGTACACCGTCTGCTCGTCACGCTATCTTATTTTCGGCCGGATAGATTCGTGCAACTTCTTAGTCTAATACCGATCCTAATCTTACTCTTATACTATCTAGTCTCAGGGTGTTTAACTAGTCTCTGCTAGGCTCAATAGATCTAGGGTATACTGGTTTATTGCGGCTGCTGAAGTCTTCTTGGAGAGTCAACTAATTTCTAAGTTAAATTCAAATCTCTCTGGTGCTGAAATTACAAGTAATTCCAGCACTTACAAATAAGTGGGTTGTTAGTTAGATGGATCATGATTGGTTAATATTAAATACTTTACAGTGGTAAAATATCTAATTTATCCAATCATAAAATGTAGTTAAGATCAGGTTCCAATACCAAGATAATTGTTGTGATAAACATACCTAACTGCTGTGATAAACTTATTAAATAGTTTCAGCTAATTGAGATGAAAATCCGGTCTGGTCAAGGTGTCTGGGGTAAGGTTTTCAGTAGCTGACTGTATGTTTATCATTGGTGCCAGCTCACTAGACAACGCTTCCAAAGCCCTACCCAGGAAGACTCAGAAAACGATCAGAAGATTCTGCTATTCCGTTCGAGGACTTAGTCTAAATCCGAGTACTGCAAATCCCCATCAACATCTCGTTACATTCTTAGTTGAAACGGGCACGTCGGAAAAAAACTCAGCTGATTTTGTGGCACCACGTCATCAACAACAGCTTGAACGCCCACCGCACGAATAATTTCAAAAAGTGTACCCCTGAAACTCTCGTTCAGATCATCACGAAATTTCGTCGTCGAATCAAAGCAATCATATAAAACCAGCGCATAGAAACACCCAATATTCTTTCTAGTTTAGGTTCTACAGGATTACTGGCTCTAGACGTTCGGAAGAATATTCTTCCGCTGCCAGTGAAAATGAACGCGCTGATAACAGAAGAACTTCTGTCTATACACCCCTTCGAAACAACTGAAGTTTTCATACTATCGACGGTGTGTTACAGTTACAACAATTTGTGGCAGCTGAAAAACAAAATTCGATCTTCAAAGAAAAAACCGGAAAAAAACAAAAGGTGGAAAGAAAGAAGAGAGAAGAGAACGACAGAGCGACTAAAGTTCGAGCACGAAAACGACATAGAATATAGGGTAAAGTAATTTATCTCTTGTGCGACTCCAGAGGTTTTCTCGAAATTGCGTTCAAGTGAATTGCTTTATCTAAATCTGCCACAAACTTAAACACAAATCTTGTGCGACTCCAGAGGTTTCTCGAAAATGCTTTGATTTTTGGGTTTTTTGTGTTTTTGTTTTCGTTTTGTCTAATATCAAATTGACCATCCAAAACCTATTTTCTGAAACTTTAAATTGAGCACTAGCTGAAATGACAAAGAAAGCCAAAACTTGCAAGACATGCAAGAGAGTATTACAAGAAAATGAGAAATCCTATGATTGCATCTCATTTTTTGCATCTCATGCGGATACAATTTGCACATGACTACTCAATGCACTGGGTTGAATCAAGTTGCTGTAAATGGTATCGTGGATCTCGGAGAAAGAGTGCTTCTTCTCTGCAACTCTTGTGAGTCTGGCAACCAAAAGACACACTCTAATACGCAACGCAGCTTTGCAAGAAAATTCTGAGAGCATCAAGAGGATCGAATGAGATCTTCACAAACTAAATTCAAACTGGGAGGAGAGGTCAATCATGTTTTACATCTAATAAAATTAAAAGCTTCTGTAACAGCGAAGGCATCGAGTTAGTTTACTCCCCAGTGAATGATCACCGGAGTACGGGTTCAGTGGAAAGAACGATAGGAAGCCTGAAGAATTTTGACCTCACTTATGCATCCGAAAAAAAGCATTAATCTCTGGAATCTATGGTCGATAAAGCGCTAGGCGCGCTACGGTTTTCCAAAAATGCAAACACCTTTTGAAGCTCATCACGGCCGGGAGGCGATCACCGTTTTACGCAATCTTCCGAAAAACAAAGCCTGAAAAATCTCAATTGAGAGAACGTCTTAAAACAAAAATGTTTGTGTTTAGACGAAAGTGACCCTGAAGTGAACACCATCGCGTTCCCAAAGCATTCAAACTGGGAGGAGAGGTCGGATCTGGTTTACGCTCCGGCGTTAAGAAAGGCACCGCTTATTCTTGATAGCGATCAGCAGCTGGAAACGCACCAAGGGGAGGAATCGGGGGTTGAGCCTACAATCCAAGGGAGTGGAGATGCAGGCGATCTCTATCAGCATACTACCAGCAGAACCTTAAATCGGTATAAACTCCTAAAATCTAATGTAATCTCCGAGTCTAAACATACCATCAAGCTGAAAAACGGGTCTGTGATTAGGGAAAGTGCCGTGGCAGTAAAACCAAAGATCCTGCCAAAGAAACGGAAGCCGGCCACACTCAAAGAAATGGTAGCGAGTGAGAAAAAGGGGGCAATAGAAAGCCCAAAATCAAAGCGGCCAAAAGCTAAACAAGCACTACCTGTAGCCACATACCAATCTGAAAGCTCGGACAGTGAGGTTTACCAGCCACTCAAGATTATACCAGCAGAACTATCAGTCGAAATTTCGGCAAGGCATGAGGCAATTGCGGCGGGACAAGGACCAAGTAGCAGCAGAATAATTCAGGAGGAACACGGAGTGGGAACAAGGGTGAAAACTAAAACTACGAAAGTAAAACGAGGGAAAGGGAATCAGGACAGACCGGCTTTAGTTGCACGGGAACAAGGAAAAGCACAAGAAGAAGGAAGCCAGTCGACAAAATGGGAGGAGTGATGATAGACAATATCCAAGGGGCGGAGCACAAAAGAAAATATCCAGGGGGAGGAAACAAGTAGATCTTAAAACTCATGAAAACTCATAACCCAGGGAGAGGGATGGCCATAAGCCTGAAACTCAAAGTTAAAGTTTTGATGCGTTAGTTGTGGTAGCAGGTTGAAGGTCATTACGTCTTATATTAAGTTTAAATTACTATGTATTTAAATTTTACATCCGTACGGAAACGTGAGGGGCTACATATTTAGATGTGAATCAATTTAGTTGCTATCCATTATTTTTTTATATCCTTGAGAGTTCTCATACTATAATTAAGTGTGAATTTGGTACCTGCCTGTCAGTCAGTCTAGGTCTGTCTAGCTGCTATGCGGTGACTTCTAGTTCAGTGTCTTATTTATGCGAACTAGAAACAAGTTGAATTTAATCTTCAACCGTATCGTTTTACTAACCCTTGTTAAACAAAATTAGTAACTTGATTAAAAAACCTGGAAAACTTTTTCATCCGCAATAATCATCACGGGTCATAATTGATCATTCACCTGAAAAATATATTTTGTTATTTTCTGCTGGGGTTTGTGTCAAGTTTTTTCTTCCGTTTTTTAAATAAAACAGTTGTAATATTTTGAAACTTCAACCTATAAATTTCAAAATGTTTCTTAATTCAAAATGTCAGCGAGAAAGAAATTGTATCAAATAACAGTACTTAAACTTTGATTTTTTAATGCAATGTTTTTTACAATTTCAAAAACTTAGTTTGTATTATAACTATCAGATTCAGCTTTCTGTTCGAAGAAAGAAATCAGTCCTTTCAAATTTATTGACCTGTGTTAACCGCTTGCTTTACAGCTAGAAATTTTTTCTTTGCTGTTCTGACTTTAATGGCATCGTGCAACTTTTGCCAAAAGTCTTTTGCTGATACTGAACTGGTACTAAGAGCTTTTACTATCTTAACAACAAAAGTAAGCTTCACTTGTAAAGTAAGCAGATGCTCAAAATAGCAGAGCATCTAAATTTCGGTGTCAATAAGTCAATTAGACGATAGATGTTAAGTTGACAACTGCTTTTGGTGGGACTTTCAAACTCTTATGTTAAATACGAGGGAAAAATTCTGTCTAGAAAGAGCTTTTTGAAACAATTTTGAGCACTTTTTGACTGTTTCGTTTTTCAACCAAAACGGCTCTTTTACTTGGCAGCATAAAAACTATATGGAGAGCGTTCAGTTAGTTACAGAGCTGATTGGGTTGAAAAACAATTAGGTTGTGGTCAATTGATCACAGCACAAAATTGTTTCCAAGGCTTTTTCTACACAAAAAACTTTCCCTTGCATTTAACAAGACGACGAGACGGAAATTTGGGTGTATCATGAAAAATGCACAGCTGAAATTGGACAAAAAAACTCGAACTCTGCAATATATTTAATGAAAGGTTGCGTTCTGAAGTAGTATACAGATATTTTAACAATCCAGTTGTTGAATTTCCTCATTCCTGATCACTAATTTGCAAATATGATGGATCCCGAATGTCTTTAAAAGTCTTCGCTTGCTTTTTTAAAGTAATAAATTTACTTGAAATGCTTCACTCTATCTAGAACATAAATAGACTCCAAGACAGATGATGTAGGGGTAGACAGACATTATAAAAATCTGCTTCAACGAGCATCGGCTGATGCAAATCTTTTTGCAGACACCAGCTGAGTCCAAAACAGACTATGGAAGAATGGCTGGTAACTTTGGCAAACATAGTGAGATTTTGGGCTCAAACGTCAGGAAACAGTATCAATGAATTTCTCTTTCTTTGCGAGGAAAAAGGATCTGAAATTTTCCACGTTAACGCAGAAGATGAAGGGTTTGCGAAACAGATCGCATCAATGGTTAGATCTCTGAGAGATCCACCAGAATGAGAAATTTAACCACCTTTGCGTCCCCTCAAGAACCTGCAGAAAACTCAGTTGCTTGACAGCTAAAATTCTGTTCACTTCTGTACAAACCTACTGTTTAGACTTTCAAATGATTATCAGTTGCATATAATAAAACGTTTTAGGTGGCATTAAAAGCACGTATTTAGTATACATGTGTCAAAAAAAAAACATGTAACATTTTTGCATAATTTCAAAAAAAGGGTCTGCTTAACAATTTCCACCCCTTTCAATAAAGGGGAAGATTGTTAAGTAGATCAAAATGGTCAATTTTTCGACCAATTAGAATGCAGCAAACTTAAAATTCTCAACAGAAAGCTCAGTGCTAATTTACTGTCTGCGGATGCCCCCCCTTCAGGGATTCGACCCCCTGCCGACCCAAAGGGTTCCCCCTTTGTACTATTTTGAGATATCCATTTTGGGAGACAGACCCTAAAATTTTTCTAAAGGCGCCTTTGGCACCAATATATACTAATTTTCAGGGGGGAGCGCGCGCCCAAAAAACGCGATTTTTTCGTCAAAATTTTCCAATGAGGAAATGTCGTCAAAATTTTTCAAAAAATTTTCTTTTTGGCCTCGTCTTTTCAAAGTTGTGCCTGCGGCGCAGAAAAATTGGCCAAAACAGGGTCTTTTTACTGCTTTGGAAGAGCTTGGAAAATCAATTTGATCGATCTAAAAAAAAGTCGACAGAATTTTCGGAAATTTTTGAAAGTCTGCCACCCCTCGAGAAAATCCTAGATCCGCCCCTGTTTACTGTATTTATTTATAGGGGTGGAGACCTTAAGTAGCTACCATAGGGGGCAGAGATTGTTAAGTAGATCCAAAAAATAATTCGCTCGATGGTTTGAACAATTTACGGAACCGTGACCAGAAAAATGAACCACTCACAAGTTCAGTTCAAAAACATAGACTTTACAGACAACTGCGCTCGCCAAAACAGTGAAACAAAAAAAGCGAGAGCAAAGTAAGCCTGACACACTTTACAAATCTTTTAGAAAAATGAACTTCCATATAAACACTCATGAAAAAATTGGGTTGGTAAAGGAACAAATTTTACAAAAAATTTCAAAATGTTTGCAGAAAATTGTATTTAAACTAACTCAACAATGAGGAAGTTTTGCTCAACAATGACAATGTGTTTTTATAAGAAACCTATCAATCCAAATTTCCCTTAGAAACCTGGAAAACTTAAGTTTTTTCACGTCAATTTGCACAAACCATCTTTGACAAAATACAGTTTTCAAAAGGATATTTCAATTATCAGCAGTATTAACTCTTGCATAGAAGAAATGAAGAAACTCTTTTTTAAGTATACATCATAAACTCCTTATCATGGGTTTTTCTTACCGTTGACCTGGTATTATTTGTTTTTGTTATAATATTTGTTGTCTCGATAAAGATTTTACGCGAACAAGTATCAAGCATTAGAATGGGAGATTGTTGTTTCAGAAATATTATAACGTTCTATGTACTAGAATGAGACCAGGGAATTTTTTCATGGATAAAAATTTGAATCGATGTCTCAGCCAAAATTCAAATCTGCAATTAACGCAGGCATGCCATTGAAAATCTGGGTTCATCTGAATCATACATGCTAAAATGAGGCTTCAAAAATTACTTAAGACACTTTACAATAAGGTGGTAATATATTCTCAATAAGATTCACTAAACAATTATGATTACTGGAAAACCACATGGTGCTAATTCATATTAATTTGACTTCATACTTCTGACAAAAATAAAGTCAATTGATGCTGTACTCATGATATAAACAAACGCAACCACTAAAAACAAATTATGATTGATTCTTCTATCGAATTCGCAGTTTCATCTTTCTCTTGCATTTCAAAAAAGGTAAATCGATGAGTCCTATTTATTCGTTTTTCAATTTATTCGTTTGGGAAACTCTGTATGCCACAAAAGTTCTTTAGAACCCAACAAAAACGAAAAAATTGGTGAATTGTGTCTATACCTCGGCTCTGTCTATATAAAAAGCAAAAGAAAACCGTGAAATCTTTTTACCACCCACCCTTTAAAACCAGCGAGATGAGGCCGTGAGGAGGGTTTTTTGGCACTAAATCTCGTTTCAGCAGAGCCATTCCTAATATGTAGAAAGCAGTGGGCAGCCTGGTGGGCAAAAAAACCTTTGTGGATTTCCAGCAATCCACGAAGAAGAAAAATTACCGCATATTAAATGAAAGAGTCGAAAATATTATAACCGTTTACGGTAAAAAGAATACACTGTACTTTCTTACAGTTTTATCTAACTGGCGTGACTCATTTTATTTAAAGTTTGTCTAGCTTTTTTTGAAAAGACGTTTTCTTGCAGACTCCCGCAAAACGTAACAAAACGCTGGATTTTGACTCGGGCACCAATAGCTTAACCCAAGGACAGGACAGTCGCCTCCTTTTTTGGAATGCTAGGTTGGGATTAGGGGCTTTCAACCCTTTCCAGTTTGCGTTCATGTGCCAACAATACAAAATAAGCTGAACAAAACGATCAAGTCATAGGTTCAAGTTCGGAAATGATTCTAAAATTGAATGATTTTTAGCCTCTTCGCATTGAATAAACCTTTATAATTTTCCACTGTGTCTGAAAATATTTAATAAAGCAAACCATTTTTAGTTTAAAAAAACGTTTAATTAAAAGCTGGCCTTTGAAATTCAATGAAAGATTGCTCATTTTTGGTTCGAATCCCTTTTACAATCCGATTGATTGGTTGGGCCGTTTTTGTTTAAAATTTATGCAAATTATGTAGCGCTAAATTGTCTGGCTTTAAAAGCAATTTTTTTCGCGTCTTTTATGTTTAGCGAAGTCTCCTTTGAAGTAAGTTTTTTTGTTTTGGATTAAATTTTAGTGGTTTGAAATTGCTAAGGAATTAATAGAAGATTGTGAAATTGTATGCTGTTAAGTCTTTAATTGCTAAAAAGTTGGCAACCAATGTTTTATGTACAAGAAACTTCTGTTGGCTTAGTAAAAAAAACATCAATATTAAACAGTTTGAAGTTCTATAAAGACTGGAGGAAAAACTATCGAATGTGATTGGCAAAAGAAATTCTACTTGATTCTACAAAAATGAAAGTCCATTTTGAGAAAAATTGTCGGAAAACAGGGCGGTTGATGAAAGCATTATCAAATAAACTGGCTTTGTATAACTATCGCCTAAAGATACAATACAAATGTCTAAGTTTCAAAATTCGAAAAACAACATTTCAAAAAATAATTTCGAAGCTTGTAAAAAATCAAAAACATGCAATAGAGTTATTTTTTGATAAAACTAACCCAATTTGAAAAAAAAGTGGATGGATCAATAAATTTTTATTTCTCCATGATATCTGAAAAATAAAATGCAGTTTTGACACCCTTTGCACATATGCACTTTTGTTATTGGAGAATGTTTTTGTACTCAATTTGACAACTAAATTTTAGGCGAATAAGAATAACCAAAAATCAAACCGCAAAAAAAAACTTGAGCGCGGACAACTTTACGACCTTTTTCTCATTTTGTGGGAGAAACGCCAAAATTCAAATTTCCATCTTACTAAGTGGCCGGAAACAAATAAAATAAAAATCATTTTTTTGACAATTTCGTCCAATTTTCGAAGAAAACGGAATATTCATGCATGGGGTGATTTTTTATTCAGTCAATTTGCGAATTAATACTTTTCAACATACTTTTTTATACCGCATTGAAGATATCGACTCCCTGAAAACAATGTTGAACATTTTTTTTACCTCCGATTTTTTTGCAAAGTTATGGGAGTTTACAAGTTGCCAGTTTGGCCATGCTCTGAGCCAATTTATCAAGCGCGCTTTGAAGATTTTATTTATAATGCTAAAAGCAAAACAGGAAATTGTTTATGAATTATCCCGCACAACAAAATCGTTCCGAATTGATTTATGGTCGTATCGGCTAATTGGTCGTATTAATTTCGTACCCTATTATCATAATGGATTTTTGATATTGTCGAAAAATTATAGTTTTTCAATATTTGCTTTTCAATTTTGATTAAGGGGCAGTTGCAACATTCAGGACGTTGCCCTGTGTACAAGCAATCTTGTTAAAATTTAATAGCCTTTTGCAAACTTGTAAATTTGGTCGAAATTATTTTAAACACAGAAGCAAAGCTTTTCTTCACAAACACAAGCGAGAACACGACAAAAAGCAGCTCTAGAAAGTGCAATTAGAAAAAAAGAAATAAGCCTTGAATTGGTAAAAACTCGTCTAGGTCTAGGTTTCGATCTGCGACCTACTGCAATATAAAGATTCTGAGACTCACGCACTAACCACTCATATAAAGATTCTGAGACTCACGCACTAACAAATAAAGCAGCTAGTTATGCTAATAAATTGCAAATGCGCCATTAAATTTGCGAGTTATAATTTGGAATGTAACAAACTGAAGGTATCCACACTAACTTCGCATGTAACAAATCGGAAAGCATAAAGCCAAATTATGTATATCAAAAAATTGCGAGATATATTGAATTAGAAAATTTCTGGAATCGAGTTTTTATGAATTTTATGTTGTTTGAAACAAATAGCTTTTTTCGGTTCATTCCATGAATTTAAAATGCATAAACTGCGTTAACTTATTATGATTCGAATGTCGAAGCACATGCTATCGAAAAGCTGTAAAGGTGCCCCAAAAGTGGCACCAATATTTGCGACTTGGGTTGGAAAAAAAGTTCCTTACGATACACTATGCTGACGCTAATGTAAGAAAACCTTAGCTTTTAATTCAAATATCGCCTACCCAAAACTGAAAAACATCGTAAGCTTTATTTCGAAATCTGAAATAGACTATCGAAATCTACGAGCAATAAATTAACTTAAATTTACGTAAAATCAAACATAAGGCAGTTATTAGTTTTATTAGAATTTTAACTTAGAATTTAATAGTATCGAATGCGCTGGCTAACTCTTCGGAAGCCTCTTCGAAAGATGTTTGAATTTCTTTCACGAATTGGTAAGTTGGCGTGAACACTAGATCCACTTCGTACGACTTGAGATAATTCACCTCAGCTAAGAAAGTGTAACAGGTTAGAATTGCGGCGTTGCTTTCAATCGGCCTTTTCGAAGCCGAGTTCGGTTTTTTCATCACTGATTGGTGAATTTTCACGTATCGTTTTAAACTTCGGCTGTTCAGAATTTTCAACAGACGTCTGTAGGCAGACAGAATGGTTTGAAGCTGGACTCGTAACTTGTACGTGCTTTCCAGCCAGTCGTTGTGAAGTTTGTCTTCGCAAGTCGCAATTTTGTGTCCGACAAATGAGAAGCTGTCGGAACAGGGGGTGTTGTGGGGTTGTCGCAACTTGGATATTTCGGAGAAGTTTCGCATCTCTTCGCCTATAGTTTTGATCATGTACTTCTCAGCCTTGATGAGTAACGAGTGCTGCTTAAGTGACAACTCGACTGTCTGCAGCAGACAGACTAGTTTGTGTTCTATGGCCGCCGCTTGCACTTTCTCCTGCTGGATGAAGTTCGCGAAGTTCGATAATCTACACGCAAGACAAATCGAAGTCACTTGTCAATACAAATTGCTACAAGTATGATAGTTGGATCCCTTTCAAAAACAAGAGATCTCCCCTCCCCTCCCAATTTTTTGTTTGCCATGTCTTTATTAATCCGCATGCTTATTTTCATAACAATGTGAAAAATTGAAGTTAATGGCTTGTAAAAATTGCCAATGCGGAACGGGGTAGCCAAAGACACATAATTTTCAAGAAAAGCTCAAAAGCGCAAAATAGCAAATGCAGAAGTTGTTTTTGAAGTTTCCTATCACTTCAAATTTTCTGAAGGCACCATCGATATTTGAGGAACCCAACTATCATACATGTATCTAAAAAGTCACCTAAAAACCGTTGTACCAGTAAACAGTGGTTACGAACACTGTCTTCAAATCTAACTCAGCCATAAACTGACGTCGCACCAGCTGTAAATGAGCGTAACCTTAATATTCGCGGTGGCCAAATATCCAGTCCAATTTTTTTCAGAATAATGCATGCTATGCCATAGACTTAAAGTGTCCGCCAAAAATCTGCGCATGATTTTTTCGATGTAAAATTTCTCGTAGTGAGCTTATACATGTCAAATCAAGCAAAGTCTAGCGCAAACTTGGCTACTTTTATGTAGCATAGTGGTAAGGCGTGCGCTTTGATAATGCCAGATTGAGTGTTTGATCCCCTCCCACGGTAAAAAGAAGGTATGTGGACGAGAGGCTATAACACAGTCTGACCTATTTCGGCTGTAACAGTTGTACCACAAAAAAAATACTTGAAAACACAAACTTTGGAAGCGAGAAAAATCAGTTAAAGCATGAGTAGTCTCAAGCTGAAAGTTTCAAAAACGAGGTGAATTGACCCAAGAAAAATTACTGCACAGAGGCGAAGCAGAGCTTCGCACCACTTGCCATAACACAAAAATTTAGCATTGCAAACCAGCAGGCAAAAATAAAACGAAACCACGAAATCAAAAAACCCCAATTAGAAAACTTCATAAATTTTGTATCGAAAACGCTCAATTAGAGAAAAACACGTTCAGCAAAAGAATCGCCGGCGTGAAATAAACTTTCGGAACTTTTTATTTAACTAAACAGACAAAACTATGCTAAGCTACCATTAAGCCGAAAACAAATATGTTGTTTGAAAAATCATAAAGTTTTGAAATTCCAAGCTATGAATCCTTTTAAGTTTCCCGAAGGTGTAAAGCTTAAATTAAATTTTCTCCCTCAAAAGACGCAAAATTAGGTCACTAAGCAGATAAAACATCAGCCGAAATCAATCAGGCCGAACAAAGCTATTTTACGAATATATATAGCAAACTTACTAGGTACAGAAACAAAAATTTGCAACAAAACTTCTTACGGTGCAAAAAAATGCCGTTAGGTGACAACTATGTCGACTAAACATCAGCAGAAAAGCAATAGGCTGAGAGTTTTTGAAATAGAATATTTCCACTTTAAATAATAAAATAGGACCCAGGTGCCGGAAAAGCTAAGAAATTTCTATTAATAATAAATCAAACTATTGAAAGATTCAACTGACTTTGTTTACCCCTACAAAAAAGTCAATAAACTGATTTGATGTAACAAACTGAGGCGAATAACTTAGGATAGATAATAAGATAACTTCCACGAGATTCAGTGAATTACATAATATCTGCCATTTGAATTTGACCCGGCTGTTTTAGCATAGCTTTGAGTTGGAGCGCTACTAGACTCTAGATCATTGGAAACTAGAGTCAAGTCTTTGAACATGTTTCAAAATGTACGTGGATTCCACTTGCAAAAACTCCGAGGATTCCGCAACGAGCGAATATAGCTAGTTGTCCCGGATTTGGCATATGTCAACGGATTCCGCAAAAGAAAGCAGATGCATGGAGTGGTGTAGGTGGATTTGGCAATTTTCAAACGGTTTTCGCAAAATTATAACGATAGTGCAAATAATTTGTATATTTGCTTGCGGACTCCGCAAAATTGGCTGCTTTTGTAGCGACTGTGAGTATTTCAGTGATTTAGCTATTTGTACTCTGTATCCAAAACAGCAAGAAGATCAACGAAAAATAACAATAGCTTTTTGCAGAATCCGCTTAAAATTCACAAAAGACACAGTTTAGCCTCGTAATTAGTAAAAAAAAAATTGACCATCAAAAAAGTTTGACTAAGTAGTAGATCTAAAAATTTAATTTTCTTCGCAGGGGGAAAGCAAAGCTTCACACCAGATAAGATATAAAATTGCATTCAAGCAATAAATTGCTCCATCATAAAATAATCGCTGCAAAAGATATGCTACATTTCATATCAATGAAAACATTGTGATTCAAACAAATTTTAAAAGCAACAAGTTTCTTGTTTTTTTTTCAAAACAGTGTGTTTTTTGTGCTTTTTGTGATGAAAAAACCTGACGAAAATCTAAAACTTAGGCATATTTGGCAGTTACAGTAAATTAAGCAAAACAGGCAACGGTTTTTAGCAAAAAAAATGACCCAAAAAATGGAACTAAAAACTTCAAAAAATAGTTTTACTGGAGTTTTACGGCTTGTCCTTCTATAAGAAGCCTGCTCACCTGCTTTACTCGAAATTACACTAAAACTCAAAAATTTTCAACCGCTTTTTCTCGACACTGGGAAGAAATTTTAAAAATTTTTTAATGGCGTTTGAATCAGGACTGAATATGATAAACCACTCCAATCATTGCAATGACTTTTTGTCGTAAGTAATTCTGATTGAATTTAGGTTTTTCTTGACGGTGGGGAGGGCGGGGGTTGGATTGCAAACTTTTTTCGAGATATTTGTCGAAAGTTTTCTTAGGTCAACCAAAATGATTGTTCGAGCGCTCCCAGAGAACTATAACAAACCTATTTGCCCCAATTTTTTGCGCCGCAAGCAAATTCTGGAAATACATAATGAAAATTTTTTTAGCAAAAAATCGCATGTTTTCGGCGCGCGCTCCCATTCAAACTAAATATAGATGGCGCCCATAGCATAGCGCCTTTAGAAAAATTTTAGGTTTCGCCGGCCGAAAATGGATGTCAAAAAACATAAACAAAAGTTGGTGAGGGGGTCGAATCCCTGAGGGGTTACAGCATCCTCCACCTTAACGGTCTGCTCGATCGCCTAATTTGCTCGAATTAGGACCAGAAATTTAAGAAAAAATCAAACGGGTTTTTCTCAACTCAGGGAAATTTTTCGAAAATTTCTAATGTCGTTCGATTCACGAAAAATTAAAAGGCTTTAATACGATATATCATTCCACACATACCGTTGAATTTTTGTGGTACCTGATTTTGCTTGAAAGATACAAAAATAGCTGGTTGCTATGGAAATAGCACAGATTGTTACCACTATATTCTCAAAAAAAAACTTTTTAAGTATTTTTTTTTCAAGTTAGTGTCATTTTTTGTGCGTAGTGCGATGAAAAGATCTGACCGAAACTAAAAGTTGGGCATATTCGACAATCACAGTAGAGTAAGCAAATCGGGCAACGGGTTTTTTAGAAAAATGACAGGAAAAAAACAAAATTCAAAAAACAACTCTTCAATTTTTTTCATTTTTTAGCAGAAAGTATTTTGAAACTTTGAAGTTTTTTATTCCAAAAAATATCTTCAAAAAAAGTTTTACTGGAGTTTCATGGCTTGTTTTGCTATAGCAAGCTTTCTAGCTTGCTTTAATTGCTCGAAACAAAATTTTCAAAATTTTAAACCAGTTTTTCTCGACACCGGATGATTTTTTGAAAATTTTTAAATGTCGTTTGAATAAGGATTGAGAGGGCTTCAGTAGGATAAATCGTTCCCTCCATTTCGATCATTGTTTGTGGTTAGAGCTTTTGGTTGAAAAACGAAATAAACCTGCTCGCTCACCTTATTTGCTCGAAATTAGATAGACCAAAAATCAAAAACTTCAAACGGGTTTTCGTCTGAAATTTTTTTTTTCACAATTTTTAAATATGGTCCGAATCACAATTGAAAAGGCTTGAATATGATAAATCACTCAATCAAAATCGATGAGTATTAATGTGGCACCTGATTTTTTGCGGAAAACAAGAAAAACTAAAACTTACCGGAATACAACGTTCCTCTCCATTTTGAACGGTCGGAACAAACACTAAAAACGTCCGAATACAAAGTTTTTCCTCATTTTCAATGGTCGGAAAAAAGGCTTACTTTTTAGCATAATTATGATTGGCAATAAATTGAAGTCATTTAATGAAGCAAAAAAAAATCAGGAATTTTTTCAAGAAAGAGTTACAATCAAATATCATCGAATTTAAGGCGAAAATCAAGAATTAATTGATTCATTAAAACTAATAAGAAAATGGATATGAAATAGTATTATTAATGTTCTGCATTCGAGGTTAGGTTCAAAGTAACCAGCGACCGAAAAAACTCAAAACTCACGGAACAAACTACCCGCACCAGTTTCGAACATATTCCAAAAATACGATCAAACAAAGTGGCAAATGAATAGAGAGTAACTGGTTTTAAAAAATGAAAAGTTTCATTTCGAAACAGTCGTTTCGTTTTCAGCAAAAACTGTAACACTATGAATTCACAAAAAAGGGTTCTAAAGGATCAAAAAGTATCTTTGGGGCTGATTAAAGTTGATTCTATCGGAGTTATAATGGTTCAATATAGCAACAAAACGGACAGTTTTTAAGCAGACGCCAGTTGAACTCTGAAAAACACATCAATGATTTTGAGCCACAGAGTAGAAATCAAAAGTATAAATTTAGTAGCATGCATATAGTACGATAACCGAACATTCAATTACGCTGATCGTCAGCTGGTAAATTGGACTGAACGAAGTCGAAGAACTTTTTTTTAATTGGTTGATTTGTTTTGTAAGAAAACTATAATTATGATAACAAACAAAACGAAAAAACGAATCGGTCGGAAGGAAAAAAACGAATCGATCTCCCGGCCTCCAGAAACATGGTCTTATGTCTTAACAACTGATCCATAGCACCTTAAGTTTGATTGTGAAAAGAAACTTACATTGCACTTTCTACATTTGTTTCTAAGACGGAAGACGAGGTGCTCTGATTGCGGATGAACTTGACCACTTTTCGGATGGAACTCTTCTGGCTGTGCCAGTCCTTACTCTTCGCATAGCGCAACATGTGCCAGAAAATCGGACTCTTCCCCACCACCGGGTGTCTGCCGAGCCACGACAGCCAGATCTCCAGGGCCAGAGTGCCGCAGTAAGCACCTCCGGATCCTGCAGTCGGAGTGAACTGCGGGCAATCTGGAATCACAACTGTAGGGTAAATACGGCGCAACTCACTTTCGAAGAATTTAGTCTCCACTAGAGGGAAATTGGTGGTCACAAAATCGAATTCCCGATCAGAAGAACTGTAGTTGACGTTTGAACCTTCAGTTGCCGTGACTCGAAAATCGTAATAGTAGTTTCTGTTCACCACGTGTTCTTTCGTAACTTGAATGCCAAATGACATTTCAGCGTCGCCCCACGTGATCTCGGAGTCACTGTTTAGGTCGAACTTATAGCGCTGTTCGAATCTGTTTGTTGTCGCCATATAAGTGCTGCCGCCGCTAACTGACGAGTTAGTAATACTGGTGCTCTCATGGTAGCTGTAAGTTTCCATGAAGCTCTGCGTCTTTTTCGGACTGTTTAGTAACCGTTGGTAGTTTGAGGGCTGTTCCAATTCAGGCGGCGGTGACTGACTTTGATTCAAGTTAATAGCAGATTTGGTGGTTTGTTGATTGCCGTTTGATGAAACCCCGTTTGTGTACACTTTACTCTGTACAGTCGAGGTCAGACTTTGCTTCAGGTTGAGATTATTATTACTAGTTGTGCTATGAATGATATTACCATTTGTGGTGTTAGTTGTGGTTAATAATTGTTCGTTTGCATTTGATACCAAATTGTCTGTCGGTACGTCTAAGTTTTCTTTTGACGATTCGACTTCGTAGCATTGAGTCAATATTTGCAAGTGTTTCTGACCCCCAGAACTACTATTTGTTCCAAGATTTATCATCGAAACGGGCCTTCTATTTTTATCGATCTTGTTGGCTATCGAATACCCCCCATGAGAAGAAGACACATGAGAACCGACCCCGTTAGCTTCGCTTTCATAGTTTCTCAGCCCACTTTCATAGATACAATTCGCATTCTCTTGTTGACTCATGAAAGATACAGGTCTAAGCTGCCCATTATCATGCAACGCCAACAACTGCACAGGTTCCAACATCACACCTCCCCCGTTTCTGGGAACATTTCCATTATTGACCTTGTTCTGAGTAGACCTTTTCTCGTATAATTTATTTTCAGAGAATAGCGGATGATCTAAAAGAGATCCTCGTTTGAAATACATGCGCCCGTTAACGTCTATGTAGTCACCGGCGGCTCCCACAGGGTTCTGATCGTTATCACTGCTGTTCAGCTCGGAACCCGACGGCAGAATTGCACTCTCGGTTTTTTTGAACCTCCCGAAGCTTCTCGTGCCCCAGTCGCCAGGCGACATTGACCAATCACCTTTGGCAGCTGCCAATCTCGGATTCGTTCCATATTTGGACACTTGCGGACGAGGGGTGATCGGTCTATGCAACGATGGATGTTTCAGAATCGTATCTGTGTTGCGGCGATGCAATGGCGGGACGCTCGGCAACGCACTCGCAGGCTTAGTAATCGAAATACTAACAGGAGTCGGAGTTTCGGGACTAGATAATCTCTGTGCATATCCTCCCGGAATCCCGTGACCCGCACTGTTACTTCTAGTAGCCCCGTGATGTTTAAAATTTAAGGTATCTGCGTTTGGATTTGCCAGTTTCGGGAACGGTAGTGCGTAAATGTGCTCACTTAATAAATCTGAGTTATTGCTGCTTGAACTTATTTGGACTTCGGGAAGTTTCAAAGTCATGGAACTGGAGCAGTTACTAAAATCATCGTCGACAGAGTCTTCTTCGTTTTCGTGATACTCCTCGTCCGATTCAGTCAGAGAGTCCGGTGCTACTCTTGGGCAATTATGTTTTATGTTTGCCATGTTTTGATTTAGTTAAGCTGTTCCGATTGTCCAAACTCAGGCGAGCGTGGAAGGACTCTCAAGAATTTTGAGGCAAATATGCAAATTGGTCCACATAGTAAACTGGGATCGAACAGCGCGGCCGATTCAAAATGAACAATTCATAAACATGCAAAACCCTGTTCACAATGAATCTGTTTACCCGCGGGGAGTTTATGTCACCAATAGCCGGGCAATATGAGGGCAAGTGTTGTTGTTACTTATATTCATTGGAGGTATATGTACACTCCTGGTAAATCAGGCGAATACATTTTTGAAAGCGAGATAAATTGCATGCATGGACTCAAGCTACTCTATTGTACTAGGTAAGTTTAGCGAGTGATAAAGAATGAACATGATAAAGAAGTATTAATGAGATATCAGGCAGCTAACAGGTAAGTGTTTGGTATAAAACGACAAGTAAGAAATGGGAGCTTACCTGCAAGTCACAATTGGCGCTTAACTTACACTGTGCGTATATTTGGCCTGTCTTACTTATATTTTCTCTTTGACGCAATATTTCCAGATTATACTTATTGACTTCTTTAATTGGCGCGCATTTGGGAGTTCATAAACACCAGAAAAACGGCGGAGCTAAAATGGCAACACGAATAATGTCGATTCGGATTCGAATCGGCTGGAAAAGTTTGGTTTGATATTAAGAATTTAGATTTAGACTGACTTTTGAATTAAGTTCAGCGTCCAAAGCTCAAATTATTTAGATTTATTGCATTTCAACAAATAAAACTGTTTGACAAATGAAGCTGTTTTAAACTTGCGTGGTAAACTTAGTCCAAAACCGAAAGTGAAAACATCTACTGAGATGGTGGTCGGTATGGTAACAAAAACCATTTTATATTGTTTTTAGTTATTAAGGGATCCAACATGTTTTCAGCCTGGATTAGAAAGCAGAGAATTGTTTGAGCTATTTGTGAAGCATGGGAGTTTTGTGATAGAAAATATCAAATCAACTGCATGGAATACTCTACTGGTTAGCTGTGGAATTTGGTGTCAGCTGAAATAAAAATGAAAAGCAGCCCAACTCAGCTAAAATAAGTAATAAAACAGCCACTGTTGAAAAACTAATGACATGGAGTTATGGTACAATGGACATTGGAAGTATCAGCCACAACATCAATGACTAACTGTTCCAAAATATTACAAATATAGCGATGCATATATACTTTGCAAACTTTTTCGCGTAACTGAAAAATGAGCTAACTCAATTTTTTGGACATGACTGACTATAACTGCTATGATATCCATCTAGTTTTTGCTTTAAAAAACATAAATTGAGCACTTTTGTAGTATGGAATGTCCTTAATTTCAGTGTTCAACAAATTTGCTATCAATGTTTCTTGTTAAGCACCATGAAAATATCTACTGTGGAAAAGAAGGTAATAAAATGACACACGAGAGGGTAATGAAAATAGGGAGCGTCTGTCTCTCCTTTCGCCTAGGGTATAATTAACTCAACTACATCCTACCTACCCAATCACCCCCCCCCCCTCACACAGATAATCACTACACAGACATGATATAAAAACAAAGCCAGGGAGAAAGTCTTAGTGTCAGAATGACTCTTGAAAACTTCCAATGAAAACTACGTGTATTCACCGAAACATTTAGTCTATTAAAAATTGTCAACTGTCAACTTACCATTTGCTAACTTCCCGCCTTAATTAACAATTTGATCGATTTTCCTTTTTTTGCATCGCTGTATGAATACTCGCCCGAGTATCTTGCATTGAAGTCAGTATTTTTGCATGGCTTCATAACACCGGGTCTAGGACAACAAGCCAACGGGATTTCAAGCCGAAGGGACTTCAAGCCGAAATTAAAACTTTACAAGCACCTCAAAACACTATTTTATCATCTGTAAAACGTTGTTTTTCAAAAACTTTGGCAAGTTTAGTCCATAATAAACGTTATTCATGACAATGCACCACTTGTGAGTGGCATCCGTTAACAACATCAGCCGATTTTTGAAATGCATAAATTATAAACATGAAAAATGCCTTCAAGCATGTTTTACTTTTCAACCGTCCGAAACATCATTTGGAGGCTTAAATTTTATGAAAACGCCAACAACTTGTGAAGAAAGATCATGAAATTCAGAAATTCTTCAAATTAAAGTCCTCAAAGTTTTCAAATTAATCATATTTCACGAGTTTATAAGAAACTATTTGGCTTGAAGTCCCTAATTTTACGATTCGGCTTGAAGTCCCGTCGGTTTGATGTCCGGCACCCCATAACTCCGTGCAATGTTATCACCGCGCAATCCAAAACACCGTGCGTATCAATAGGTAAACGTATATTCCGCTGCGAAATCTGTAAATTAAATTCAACTTTCGAAACTAGTAGTCGATCACGTTTTTCGTGACATTTACACTTTTGTTCTTCGATATTGGAGTTTGCCATTCTTTTACAAAGGAAACGAACTGAACTTAATAAAATTTAAAAATCAAATCGCAAAACAGAAGAACACTGCATTGTTTTTTTTTTAAAAAACGCCAATTTTTGAACTTCAAAAACAAAAATATATGGCCTTAAAGCAGTTTTTCGAATTTCAAAAATAATTTACAATTGACACACTGTGTTGACAAAATTAATCAAATTTGAGAAAATTATATCAGAGGTAAAGTTTTTATTCCGATGGGAAAATTGAAAATTAAAACCCAATTTAGACACTAAAAATTCTTTTTGTTCGTGACCTTTTCACTTTTGTCGTTCGATAGTGGAGTTTGCCTTCCTTTTAATTCAGGAAAAAAACTGAACTTAAAAGCAAATTAAAAATTAAATGTTTAAAATCGAAGTTGAGCAAAGAAAAAATTTGATTTTTTTTCCCTGAAAAAAACATCAAAGTCATCACTACATATTTAAAAATCTTCACTACGTACAATGAGACTTAATCAAAGAAACAAAAATTTTTACAAAGTCTTGAAAGTCAACTACCTGCGTTTTTAAAATGTTGAAATGGCATTCTAAAACGTTGAAAATCCCGATCGTGAAACATCCATGCTTTGGAAAGTAGGCCACAAATGATAATTCGACAATTCAAGTTTTCCCCCGAAAAAAATCAAATTCCTTAGATATCAAATGACAAGGCCCGACGGGGATTTAGCCGAGACCCTAGGTTCCCAAGGCACGCACTTTACTACCAGACTAAATAGGAAAAGTGTTTGGAAGCAACTGAGACATAATAAAGCAAGGTTAATTTCTTAGTTTGTACAAAAACTTGAAAAAAAAGTAGTTGCCGATTATAAAAAAGCAAAACAATCGAAATAATTTTTAAATCGAAATAAAAATCTTCACATGTGTGATAAGACTTGAATTACGGATTAAGCAAATTTTCGAATCTTCAAGCTTGTCACAAAATAAGTCGGCATTCAACAAGCTGTCTCTAAATGTAGATATATCAGAGATTTTTTTTTTGTCAACCCCGCTCTACGGTCGCCTCAATTGACCCAAGTGAACTGTCGTTAGAAAGCGAAAAAGCGAACCGTTGTTTTAATATTCTAAAATTGTTCATAAAAATCCCGTTTACAAAAATTATTTAGTCTACCGCTGAGCAAGTTGCACAGAACTTTCCGTCAATTGCAATTGCAAAAAATTTTCTTGTTTTTGTTTGAAATTTTGAAAAGATAAGCACGCAAACATTAAAGCGCTTTTGAAGCATTTTGAGTAATTGTTGATATATGCGTTCCCAAAGCGTTCCAAATGTCAAGATAAACTTTAAAACAACTTTGGTTTGGTCGGAGAAGTACTTGGCTTTTTGAATCAGTATGATTAGGCAACGCATTGAAAAGTAAAAATTGATTGAACAAAAAAATTCAGAAATTGAGCATGCTAGCACCTCAAATGAATGAGTGTCAGCATCTCAAAAGATAACAAAGTGTTTAACAAAAAAAAATCCAGGGCATACTTAGAAAAATTATATACAGCGTTTTGATAGACAATTTTAACTGAAACGAAATCCAAATCATCTGCTCGTAGCGATGTGTAAAATTATAACCTCAAAATTGCAAATTACATTCAAAGGAAAAAACGCTTCTGAGTAAAACGCTTAGAACATGTTCTCCCAGAAAGCGGTATCCCAAAATGTTCTTTTGCCAAAGTTCGACCCAGTCAAAAACTAAACACTTCAATTGAAATCATATAGCTCTGGCTGTTTCAAACTAACAAACGGTACTGCGCGAGGTTTTTTTATCAAACCAGTTTTTTACCAGACGAGCGTTTAGCAAACTCAAAAAAATTACAAAGATGAAACTCTAACATTAAGCGCGCCATTGGCAAGTAACGAACACTTCACTTCCTCCGCAGCGCTTACATTTGGCACGTGCGTTATCCTTCGCTTAAATCAGTGTTTGCCGCTGGCTAAGATTATTATGCTTTTAAAGTTGATTTATTTGCCGCTAAAAAACTAAATGTGACAAACCGTGAAACAAATTTTGTAAGTGGGAGATCTACTCCAGGGTAAGCGTATTTTTACGTCTGTCAATCTTATTACTGTATTTTTTTTACGTCTTATATTTTTATTACGCATGTTTTTTGTTTCGACCATTTGAAAATGACCGTTTGATACTTGGTGTTCGGGTGTGTTTTAGTTTTTTTCCATGCAAAATCAAGTACTACAAATAAACATCGAAAAACATTGAGTGATATATCATATTAAAGCTCGTTCAGTTGCGATTCGAAACACATTTTAAAAAGTCCAAGAAATTTTCCCACTGTTGAAAAATCGATTTGAAATTTTTGAGTTTGAGGGCAATTTCGAGCGAGTAAAACGATGGAGTAACGTTCGTTAGATATAGATAATAGCCATTTAGGCTAGAAAAACTTGATTAGTTGCATAGTTCTATAATCACACACGCAGAAGAAATGACGCCAATTTGAAAAAAAAAATTGTGGAATTTTGTTTATAAGCTCTTGCTCTAAATTCGCCACTTTTGAAAGCAAAGAAAAATGGCTTCATTAAGTATTATTTCGCTGCTGTTTTTGGTTTGCTTGAGTTATTACGGCGCAGCTCATCATCCAGGCGGTTCCTCATTCCAAATCGGAAACTAGGGACTTCAACAGAAAATTTTTTTAACGAAATTTGATTTTTTTTTTACTTATGGGAAATTTTTGTTTATAAGCGGTTGCTCCAAATTCGCCACTTTTTAAAGCCAAAAAATGGCTTCGTTAAGTGTTCATTTGCTGTTGTTTACAATTTGTTTGAGTTGTTAGGGCGCAGAGCATCATACAGTTTCTCATGCCACATCGGAAAAAGGGGCTTCAAGCAGAAAAAAAATCTAAAATGCCACAAAATTTAATTATTTTAAGAAGTACAAGGAATATTCACTCAATTTCATGGATTTTACATAGAATAAATAAAATTTTCCAGCTGTTTCATGAATTTCGAAAAAAAAAATAAGAACCTTTTAAACTGCTAAAAGCGTTTTATATCTAACCAAAAAAGGCAAAGATGCACTTCGCAAACACTAGCAAAAAACAACAGGAGAGAAAAATAAAAACTCAGGCTAAATAACGTCGAAAATAAAAGAAATACCCTACGAGATTCGATCAACAGCATTCAAAACCACAAAATTTTGTGTCAAAAATCCCTATTAACTTGCTGAATACCTCGACAATAAACCAACAATAAACAGGATATAGTACAATACAAGTTAATAAACCGCCATAAAATTCTATGCCAATTATACTTAAATTGGCGACTTGGGTTAGAAAAAAATGTTCACTCGTAGTATAATAGAAGCGTTAATTGGAGTACATAGAGGGAAAACGGAGCTTCACACCAATTGCGACACCAAAATAAAATGCAAAAAATCAAAATTGCGACACCAAAATAAAATGCAAAACACCAAAATCAAAATCAAAAAAGTGACGGCAAAAAAAATCCAGAAAAAATTTATTGCAATTGTTATAAGAATCAATAATCAAACACAAAGGAACTTTTCATGCTACACAAACCTCATTCATTTATTCATAACGAATGAATCATAACGCCGAAAAAAAAACATTTTTGTCAAAAAATTGAGATCCCGAAAACTTTAACTATTTCAACAAAGAATTTGCAGAAAACCTGGAAAAAATCTCTCTAACCTTATAAACATAACACAAATACATCAAAATTTATACGCAACGTTAAAAGAACTGGATCACAGCAAAAAAATTAAATTCCGTAAAGAAATAAATACAAGCACGAAAATTCATTTTCCCCAAAATTTCAGCCAGAAAGAATCACACTCCTCAATTTCGTACGACGCTCGCCATAGATTTTTGTAGACAATCAGTTGTGAATTTACTATGGATTCAATCTAAATTTACCAAATCTGATATTGACAGTTCTGTAAACTAATTTGTTTACGGGCAAAAACTAGTACCCGATTGCAATACCCTTGCTGATCGGAAGGGTAAATAATTTAAGCAGTCCAAGAACCGGCTGATGCAGCATGCAAATGTCAATATTGATTTTTCACAAAAAGTCTTTGGATTGATTTAGACAAAATCACTACAAAATGATAAAGCGATAAAAACAAGTATGAGACTCGTCAATATTAAAAATGGTACGCGAAAACTTCACGTTAACTTAAGAAGTCCGCGAAGTTTCAAATTTTTCAGAGCAAAAAAAAACATGAAATGACTCCCTTGTTGTATAATTAAGTTCAATAATTCATTTCATTTGTAATATTGATGACTTTAATACTTGTTTTTATCGATTAGCACGTACAATCAATAATTTTTTCTCTCAGACCATTCTGCTCATTTACCAGCTACCACTATGGCTGGATTCAAATTTTTTTGATTGATATTGAGTTTTTGACGTATACATTTAACTTGAAAACGGTGGACGAAAAGAATCCAATTGATCGAAAACAAAGTTAAGGACAAGGATAACAGCAAGAATAACATCAGTTTATATCAAATGTCGTCTACTTTTTCTTCTTTCCTTTGCCTGCTCTATTTGAACTGGAACCACTGGTCGGTTGCTTCCTCTGAAAACAGAGATCTAACATTTCATTTCGTGATTAATAAGATTCGCCATTTAAAGCTTGAAATGATTTACGAAGTCAACAATGAAAACAATAAAACCTTCTTTTTAGTGCCTTTTTGAGACATTAAAACGTTTATTGTCTAGAATTAGCATTGATAAATAATTCATTCCACATCACTAGAATCATATTCTGATGAGACGGAAGCCCAAATCAATCTGCTGAGCCTTCAAGGATAACAGCCTTGTTACATACTGCACTTCATAAAAACAACCTTAAACGGAGAAATAATGATATTCGATAATGAACGAATCAGTCGCTCTAGTTTCATCACATTAATACCCACCTTGAATCCCGAGGATGTTGAGCCCTGTCGTCGGGTGTCTTTTCCGAATGCATTCGTGCTCTTCTTGTCGTTGCGTTTGATGTTCCGCTTCTTCCCTCCATAGCCATACTTCAAGTCTTTTGCTTCTCTCAGCTTATTGCGCTTCTTGTTCATTTCCCCAATTTTAGTCGAAGATCTGAAAATAAAAACTGAATATTCAGCCTAAAAAGCCATAACTTTAAACTTCTCTTCTCGACATTGAGACAACTAACTGCGGAATTGTTTGTGGCAGCTCAAATCATAGCTGAAAGGGAATAAACCTAGCCCCAATACAGTTGAAACAGTTTCCGCTTTCCTATTTTATCAAATGATTTCGAATTGAAAAGAAATCAAAACTCAAACCGAACAACAAAAACTTCGGCCTGATTAAATTTAAAGACTTTTTTCTCAGTAATAAAAAAATGTTCTAAATTTGTGTCTTCACTTCCTTTATTGATACTTAAAACTATAAACATAGCCAGTTGACAGTTGGAAAAGAGTAATGAACGCAAGGAAACTAAAAAAAACGGACTTTTTTAAGCCCAGATACGAAGATGCGCTCCGCAAACACTCGCGAGAACACGACCAAAAAGCAGCTCTATCAAGTGAAATAAAAAAAGTCGAAATAAGCCTCGAATTAGAGAAAAAACTCGGCTACGTGTCGGATTCGAATTTCTGACCTGGCAAATTTGAGTCTCACGCACTAGCCACATGCTAATAAATTGCCAATTCGATGCAGCCAAAGTAGCACCAAATACAAAAAGACACTAGTTTTGCATGTAATAAATGGGAAAGCATAAAGCCAAATTATGTATAAATTATGCCTTTCAAACAAATTGTGAGATATTCTGAGTTGGAAACTTAACGAAATCGAGATTTTATCATTGTACTGCTGTTTGAAACGAATAACTTTTTTCGGTTCATTAGATGAACTAAGAATGCATCAGCTGTGTAGACTTTTTACTAATCAACTGTCAAAGCACCTATTATCAAAAAGCTGTAACGGTGCCCTAAAAGTGGCACCAATATTTGCTACTTAGGTTGGAAAACAAAAGATCGTACTAATACACTTTGCTTCGCAAATGTAAAAACTTTTGAATTTCGAAAAAAATAGATGGCTTTAAAGCTCTTTGAACTTGTAGAACAGTACATGATTGACCTTTTTTTTGATAACATTAGCCCAATATGAGAAAATTGGATCAATAGGTAGAAATTTTATTTCGCTGGGAAATCTGATAATCAATTTCCATTTTCGAAATTAGAAGTCGATCACGTTTTTCGTGACCTTTACCCTTTCACTGTTCGATAGCGGAGTTTGCCTTCCTTTTAACAAAAGAAATGAAGTGAACTGAAAAAGAAATCACAAGTCAATCCGCGAAAAATCAAAATTGAGCGTGTACAAATTTTACGACTTTTTCCTGAAAAAAAAAACAAAAAAATCGTCAAGACCTATATAAAAGTACTTTTCTACAAAAGAACTGATATTATTCATATGTTAATTTGAATGTTCCAGTCTCACAATTACGCGTCCGCGTTGCCATAGAGGCGGAGCTACAAATTGAAACACTAGCACTCGGAAACCTCTCAAATGTAAACAGATGGAAAACCCTAAGACGGGAAAAAATAAGCAAACTTAAATAAGGATAGTCGGTTGCTGTTTTACTAGCACAGAATGTTCTGTACAATTAAAAAAAAACGTTTAATTCTTTTTGTACAAATTTGCCGCTGCTATTTTAGATTACACGATTTAACTAGGTAAAAAAAAGCTAGAATGAGTAATAATAATGACTAAAAAAACGTTAATAATGCAGTACAATTAAATTTCGAGCCAAACGTCTATCAATTTGTCTTATTCAAAAAAAATCAGACCCGTTTTTCTCGACATCGGGACAACTTTTTCTAATTTCTTTATGGAATCCGAATCACGAAGAAAATGATGGCTTTTGCTGTAAATTGACACCAGACTTGACCCTCAACAAACATTCAATGGGGAATTCAAAACTGCGAAAAATCATATCTACATCGTACCTTCCCATATTAAGATAAGAGTACCCTTCCTTGGCAACTTCACCATAGTGACTTGATGTGGAGGGATATTTTCTCGATTTCACACTCAGCAAAAAAATAAGCGCAAAGATTCCACAACCCCCCCCCTCCCAATTTTAGGCTGTAAGCAACTGTTTTTATAAGGTTATCTGTGCAGATCAAATAATTTTGAATTAATGGGCCGAAATTGGCTGATCGTGTAACACTATGGTAGCAGTAACCAACTGGTACTAACTTCCTTTTGGCTGTGGCGTTTGCGGCGTTTTTCATGAGTGCTTTGGTGACCACTCTGTCTGTGAGGTCTATGGTCTTGTTGCCTGTTAAGGAGTCCTCGTGCAGGAACGAGAGGTCTTTGCTCTTGCCCTTCCTCACAAGATTCGTCTTGTCAATCATCTGCTTCTTCTCTGTCAATTTCGTCTTTTCTTTCTCTATTTGCACCTGAACGGAACACAACAAATGACACAAAATCGTAAAACAAGAGAATTTCGTACATATAAGTGATAAATCTTATTTAGTTTATTTCAAGTTGCGATAATATGTTTGTAGTAAACCAAACTAGACGAATTTTAAAGAAACAACGATGTCCTTAAAAATCTTAGAATTTCTGGAACAAATTCTGATTGACCCTTTTTTGATAAAATTAACCCAATTTGAGTACACTGAATCAATATGTAACTTTTATTTATTTCGCTGGAAAATCTTAAACTTAAGATTTCTGAAAACGAAACTTAGTAAAGGAAATGAGCTGAACTTACAAAAAAAATGAAAAGTAAATTTGAGCCTGAACAAAAAGTAAAACATATATCTGGAAAAAAAAACTAAAAAAATATCACGACCTATACAAGTCTTCATTAGATAAAAGAAAATCACAAGTCAAACAGCGAAAAATCAAAATTGAGCGTGAACAAATTTTAAGACTTTTTCCTGAAAAAAAATTAGCAAGACCTATATAAGAGTCTTCACTACGTTCATTACTCTTAAAAAAACAACAATCAAATTTTAACAAATCGAGTTGGTAAAACTACAACCAAGGTAAAAAGCAAATTTCGATTCGATCGGATTTTCAAAATGATAAGACACTTAAAGCAACTACAGTGAAATTTATTCGCACCAAAAGCAAAAGATTCTTAGATCTGGCATCTAAGCCGACAAAACATAAGCAGACAAATAAAATGCCGAAATTTTTTTGAACCGGAATTTTCGCCGAACAGATTCTGGTCAGATTCGAACCCAAGACCTTTGCCATCCCAGGCATATCCGTTACCACGAGGCCAAGGGTGCAGTATGGGCAGTTGACAGTAGGAAGTTTCTATTCGTTATGAACCAAGGTACCACCAGGAGTCGATGAACAAAGTTGTGGACAAAATTATTTACGGGAAAAAAGTCTAGTACCCGATTGCAATACCCTTGCTTATCGCAAGGGTAAATATTGGAACCTTAAAAACATAAAAGTTTGCAACTGGTTCATCGAACTTCTAATAAGCTTAAATTTTTACACATGCTTGACTAGTAAAAACTAGTCAGCAATAAATGCACTTTATTAGAGCGGATAAAATTCCCGTTGCTTAAATTATAGCGCATAAAAACTGAACACAAACCGTGCAATTAAATTTGAGACTGGCTGCAAAAAAAAAAGATTTTGCTTGTACAACACTAGCCTTGCTTAAGTAAAGGTAAGTAATGCTTCATCAGAATTTGATTTATATCTCAATTAAGAAAAAGGTGATACGGCCAAGTTAGGGAAAAATCGCTGCTGAACAATCACAAGGTCACTTGCAGCGGTAATTTCACAGGAACATAGGTAACAGGCATCACGAAGCGTTGATACGCTCCACGATAAAAAAACTACTCAATTTTTTGGAAACTTTTACAAAGTTCCCAAGTTTCATAGAAAGAATCAATTCAACTGAAATTATGTTGAATTTGAAGCATCATTTAGAAATTGCATTTCAAGGAAGATCACTAAATCATATTTTTTACTAAATCACTATGTAATTATTAATCCGCTGGGAAATCTAGAATTTAAGATCCATTTTTGAAGCGTAAAGTACACTCCATTTTATTTGACTCACGTCACTTTGTTCATTAATACTTGAAAAAAGCAAATTAAGTCGCTTAAATATTAACGCTCATAATTCATCTTTGAGAAACAGATTCAAGTACTGTTTGGTACGAGTATACGCCGCTATTACGAAGCAAAAAATGGATAGAAGTTTTTAGAACAATTAGACTTTGGGTCCTGCCTTTTATTTCTTTTAGGAGGGTTTTTGAACTTAGCACTTTTCTGAGGATCAAAATTGACTTAACTGATTGCTGCATCAGCTTCTAGTTATCCTTTTTTATTTACAGCGACGCTTGATTGCTGCCGCTCTCAACTAAGCACTCACTTTTTTGGCGAATTTCTTGGCATCTCGCAATTTTCTGATCTTTTCCACTCTCTCAGCTGTCTTGGACTTGGCCAACAGTCGCTCTCTGACCTAAAACATAAACATTCATTCGGCATAGTCGAAACATTACATTAAAACCTAGAAAAGCTAGTAGTCACTTTTTCTAGTAAAGCTACAAACATTAATGTCCTTTAAACGATTGGGAGCATATTTCAAGCATTGGCCGAGAAAATCAAAGTCATCATGTATGTGATCTGATAAAACATATTGCTAGCCTCAGTTTCAGTTTCAATTTTTTGCGGCCTGCCAAAACTTATAATACGCAAAATTTAGTGAGGTTTAGATAAAAAAATCTGGCAACCTTCATACCCAGGGGAAAGATGATGTGTAACATTCAATTGAAATGGGAAATACATATTGCTAGATGATTTATGAACAATTTATCCTATTCACCTTCTTCATGTGTTCGTCCGACTTGGCCATTTCTGCGAAGAAGTCTGCCGGTCTCTCCGTCTTCACTCCCAGCTGCCTCAATTTGGGAAGAGCAATGGCCACTGCTGCCTGTGCCTGGCCAAAACTAAAACATAAACTCATCTGTCAAACGAAACAGACGATGTATAATACAGCTACAATATAAAAGCTTATCAACCAAACTGCAAAAAAAAATTACTTTTCTGAATATTACTTATTGAAAATAACCCATACATCAGCTTGAAGCTCCTTGAATTTTAAAAATCTTTTTGACTGACAATTTCGGTAGAACTAAACCAATTTCCAAATAATGGAGCGCATAGACAGAAACAAGCAACTGCTAGTGAAATCGAGCAATCCTCAATATATACTCGATTACTATGACAACGCATTTCCGACACAGTGAAAGCAGATATCCTATTCAGAGATCAAAATGTAATGGACCGGAAACAAATCAATAGACTGATTTGAAAACTAACACATTGGCGAAGCGGATTTATGCACCAATTTCGACACATAGCAAACCGCAAGGCAAGCTAATAAAAATCAACGAAAAGTCACGACTTGCCTCGAATGAAATTCAAAATGGGGAAAGTAAGGCAAGAAACATAGCTGACAGACAGCTGGAACTGTGACTCGCGTTTTGAAAAACTCCAACTTTCAAAGAAAAACAAACATGCCCTTGAGGCTCTTTGATCTTTAAAAACAATTTATAATTGATAACTTTTCTTAAATTTAACCCAATTAGGACACACAAGGCAACTGTTTACTTCTTCTGAACACTTTTGCAGTTCGATAGTGGAGTTTGCTTTTATATTATAATACATATCCCAGAAAAATACTTGAGCGAGCAAATTTAAATTTTTTCCTTAAAAAAATTATCACGACCCAAATAAGTTTTTTCATTGACACTTGATGACAATGAAAAAAAAACGAAGAGGTAACTAAACTGAAATAATTCAAGTAGACGCTCGTTTGGCCAAAAAATGGTTATATGAAACATCAGCTGCAATCTCCACTTTAGAAAATCTAATAAAATGAAAATCTAATAAGATAGAAAATCTAATAAAATGAAGAACATTTTTGCCTTGCAAACGACGCAACATCAGGCAATAAAAATCTAAGCCGAAACAATTTAAGCCAAATAAACCCCTTGAAAAAATAAAAACTTAGACGAGAGACACTTGGAAGAGAAAAAATAAACTCAAACAGAATAAACAGAAAAAAAAATTTGTTTTTCAAAAACTTCAATTTTCGATTTTCAAGGAAAAATAATTGCCAATGAACAGTTGGGAAAGAGTAATGAACGCAAGGAAACAGAAAAAAAACTGATTTTTTTTTTGAAAAATTTCAACTTTCGAATTTTAAAGAAAAAATATTAGCCCTTAAAGCTCATCGAATTTCAAGAACAACTTATGATTGGTGCTTTTTTGATTGGGTTTTGATAAGTTAACCCAACTTGAGAAAACTGGATCAATAAGTAAACTTTATTTATCGCTGGTAAATCTGGACATTAAAATCCACTTTCGAGACTAGAAGTCGATCTCTTTTCTCTTTATTTTCACACTTAAAGCTGTTCAAAAGTGGAGTTTGCTTTGCTTCTAATAATGGAACAGAATTGAACTTGAAAAGAAAAGTCAAAAGACAAAATGAAAATTAAGCGTAAAAATTGAATGAATTTCCAGAAAAAAAATTACCAAGAGCTATGCACGTGTTCAACACGTTCATTACTCTTACAAATATATGGCCATAAAATTCAGAATTTCATGAAAAAATTATGATTGACACTTTTTCGATAAAATTAACTCAATTTGAGAAAAATAGATCAATAGGTAAACTTCTAATTCCGCGATGAAATCTGAAAACAAAAATTTACTTTCGAAAATATAACTCGTTCACGTTTTTTGTTAGCTTTCCACTTGTTCTTTTCGACTTGCCTTCTGTTTACCAAAGGAAAGGCGCTGAACTTGAAAAGTAATCACAAACAGCCAAAAATCAAATTTGAGAGACCAAATTTTAGGACTACTTCATGAAAAACAAACAAACAAATCATCAAGACCTACATAAGAGTCTTCGCCACGTTCATTGACTCTTAACGAAACATTGCGTATAAATCTAGATTGATAAATCTAGAACCAAGATCGAAAACCATTTCGGAAAAGGTATCAGAAAAAATTGGTGATCACGTCTGCTCGGCTGGCATTCCGCAGGAGATTAGCTGTTCACCTGAAAAAATCTAGTACAGGTTGCAATACAGAGCGCTTTTCAAGTTACTCTCAAGGTGGAAATATTATTTTAACTTTAACTCGATTGACAGATCGGTGTTGGAAGTCCACTCATTTCCTTCATGCTCGGATCAATGTCCAGCGAGGATGATATTCCTGCGTGTGGAAACAACTCTCAACCCGGGGAAAAACACTTCAGCAGTGGTACAACAAAGGTTCTCTGTAAAGAGCTGATCAGCTCGTATGTTGGTTCCATTCCTCTTGGATTAATTATTACAGCTTTGCTCTCATGTACAGGGATGCAGCAAAAACATCTGGATTTTTATAGTGGAGGGCATTTTTGATTTATTTAAATTCTAGACACGTCAATTATTTGAATATCCAGATTCCATACCATGGACACTATTTGGTCGCATGATCAAACGAACATTGCAAACAACTATCGCCATTCAAATGGAGTTTCTTCAATGCCAGAGAGCACGCCTAATAGTTGACACACACTATAACATGCAACAACAAAGATGATGACACTTTGATCTTTTTGTGTGTTTGACTGAATAAACTGACCCATTCCATGCCATTTCATGTCACGTCATGGCTCTTGTTGCTTTTGTTTCAAGTCCGTTTCGTTGCAGATATATTTAGCAATAAGACTCAACACTTCCACTTGAACAGCAGTAGTTTTTTGTCTCTCCCATTTCAACTCTATTGTCTTCGACTAACACATCGAGTAGTTGGGTAATTTTAAACTATTAGTTGATTACTCATTTCTTCTTCTCCTTTGTTACGACTGGGCTAGTTAGTAGTGGTTGTTAAGTGTGGTCTGTTCTGATGGTGGATCACGACCAGGAGTCGGTCAGGTCCTTCAAGATCATCCTCGCTGGCCATGGCTACACCGGCAAGACCAGCTTAGTCAGACAATACACAGATGGTACGTAGTGTTAAGCAGATCGATAAATAGCACATCACTCCATTGCAATTTTTCCTTTTTTATAGTTCCTTTTCATAGCTAAATACAACTTTGGGGCAACTTATTGTGCTATTTTATACAAAAATAGATCTTATGTGGTGCAATTTGGTTGATCTCAAAAATAACCGGGTGAAACTCAAACAAACTCTATCAAATTGAGCGTCTTTCAGCTTAACAAAGCTTGGAATGGAGAAATATTTGTTCAGCTAAGTAAGACGCTAATTTTGATAATATTTAATCTAAAATTGGCTGGTAGCTGCGCTTAATTTTGTCCGAATAGAACTTAATTTTGTCCAAATTAAACTAAATTGAATTAAATTCAATGTTTTGTCAAAAACAAACCAAAAAGTATGCAGTTACTTAAGGAGAGAACAAACCAATCTGGAAACTGCTTCAATGAAGTATATCAAAAAATGCGATTGCTATTCCCGCACCTGCGAATTGGGAAAGCTTAGTTGCAAGAACAGCAAAATAGTCAACCGGAGAATAAATGAATTCTCAAATGATTTTATTCGCTTCAATTTCGTCTATTTTAGAATTCACTGAAATCTAAACAAGTCATCGAATTTTAAAATAGTTAAAACTTTGAATGACTTTATCAATTCATAATTCGGGAGGTAGCAATCCAAAATTAGCTAACAAGTTAAACATTTTGGTTCACGATTACACAAGGAGTCAAACGAGACCTTATTGTTGGTACTTTTTTTTGTTTTGAGCAACCTTCGCTGATAATCCTTAGCATGAAAATTGTAATTCATTTGTTACATACATGAAAAATTGGTAACTCAGTTTGTTCAGTCTTTTGAGAACACTTTTAGTGAATCTTAATATAAAAATACATAATTTATTTTAAAAAATATAATCATAAATAGCGTGAAAAAAAAAAACAACTTATTGTCTTTAAAGAAAAGTAAATTTGTCATAAACAATTCCCTTTGCAATAGACAGGTCTTAAGATCAAACGTATGCTGCAACTCTTCCGAGGGAAGACTTATTGACACCTCGACACAAGTTTTACCTCTTCGCATATTTGGACCAGTTGCACTATTGCAATTACAGAGCGTAATTTTCTTTTCATTTGGCGAACTTACAAAATCAAAGGCTAATCCACCAAAAATTCAGTACGAACAGGATTTTTTTTTCGTAAAAACGAACAAACAATTAATCAAGCGACTTGAATAAGTCTTCACTCCCTTGATAGACACTTTGCACGACTTAATACCCTCATTTTTGAGAGCTCCAAATAAAAAAAGCTGTTTTTTCCTCCCAAAAAATTGTCGCTTGGATTAAATAAATAAAATTTTACGCCAATTTTCAAGTTCCAAAACATTTTTGGCTCAATTTTACCGTTATAGTTATCAGAATTGTTTCAAATTTGCAATACCCTCCTGATAATTTTGAACCTCCCGCAATGAGAAACGCCTTTTTTGTTTTGCTTTTTTCTCCAAAAAATGTAAAATGTCCAACCCCCCCCCCCAGTAATTTTCGGTTCTTCCCACGCGAATTAAGCACTGCACAGCACTTCCATAACAGACATGCACAATAGCTGTGAAAGAAGGCTAAGCAAAATCACAGTCTGATCTCAAGTATGTCTCACACTTTAGGACGCTTCAACGAGACCTATGTTGCAACTCTTGGCAGCGACTTCATCGTCAAAAGAATCCAACACGCCAAAAGAACGGTGGATCTGAACTTGTGGACTTTAAGTGGACAACACTGCGACATATCAACAGTTCCCTCAGTCAACTTCCGATTCGCAGACGCAGTGGTGATCGTGTTCGCCATCAATGACGAAAAATCCATGCTTGTTCTGGACCAGTGGCGCCAGAAGGCGGAGGAAATAGTATCTACGGACACCATTTTTGTACTGGTGGCCAATAAGTGTGACATGAAACGCATGCAGGCACGGTTGCAAAAAAAAACACCACATAAGAATCAGTAGTGTTATTTTAAATCAAGTTTGCTAGTACGTAAAATTTGTTTTTAAACCTACTTCCATGTTTCTGCTTTCAAACCTTTCATTTTTCAAACCTTAATTAAGAATCATCAGCAGTTACTTACTTGAAAGCCAATTTTTGTCTTCTTTCTAAACTGAAAAATTCAAAAGGTAGCTCAAGCCAATTTGCAACCCTGGATGCAGGAAAAAAACCTGGAAGACATGGCCGGCAACTTCTACGATCACTACTTCCAGACATCGGCTAAGACGGGCGAGGGAGTGGGCAAGTTGTTCGAGACAGTGACGGACATGATTGTGGAGAAACAAGCCAACAGAACCGGCAAAAGTACCGGCTTCAAAATCAGACAGCCCAGCAGACGCAGAAAGAAGTCATCACCAGGATGCTCATGTTGATTGCAACCCATCAATCGTAGAACTAATTTCAATCAAATTGCCTAATTAAAAATAGTGAAAAATTTCTTTTAACGGCAAAAATATAGCCAACAGTTGGAAAGGTCAATGAACGCAAGTAAACAGAAAAAATTGACTTTTTTTTTGAAAAATACTCATCTCTTTCAAATTTCCAAAAAAAGAGATGCCGTTAAGGCTTTTTGAATTTCTAGAGCAAATTAACAGCCAATCAAAGATCGGAAAAAAAAATGAACGCAAGCCAACATAAAAAAAACACTGACTTTGTTTAAAAAATTCTCAACTTTCAAATTTCAAAGAAAAAAATAGATGCCCTTTAAGCTCTTTGAATTTCAAGAACGTTTTATGATTGGCGCTATTTTGATATCATTTACCCAACTTGAGAAAAGTGGATCAACCGGTAAAAATTATATTCCGCAGGAAATCTATAAATACCTATAAATTAAATTCTACTTTCTAGAAATAGTTCGTTTTTTTTTTGCGCCATTTCTACGTTCGTATTTGGAGAGCGCTATTTACGTCACTTCCAGCAGATGAATTTCAATTGAACTCAAAAAAAGCATATATACCTAAGTCTATCAATATTTTAAAACTTTTTCCTGAAAAAAAAAACAAACAAAAAATCAGCAAGACCGATAAAAGAGTCTTCATTACGTTCATTACTCTTTATAATTGACACTTTTGTGATAAAATTAACCCAACTTGAGAAAACTGGATCGAAAAGTAACATTTTCATTTCGCTTTCGAGATTTGAAGTTGATTACGTTTTTCGTTACCTGTAACTGAACTTGAAAAAATATATATCAAAAGTCAAACAGCGAAAAAGTAAATTTGCACAAAATTTAAGACTTTTCCTGAAAAAAAACGAAAAGAAAAATCATCGCGACCGATATAAGAGTCTGGCCTACTTTCATCGAATCTTTAACAGAAAAGAAGATACAGTAAAGATAACTAATATCTTGAGCAAGAAATTAAGATAGTTTAAAATTAGTGGTTTGCTGTTAGTAGCTGCAAACATAGGATGCCACCCAGTCCTTGTCCAATATCTCGCTAAAATTAATTACAATGGATTTCAACGGGAAGAAAGCCCAATCTTTAACACATTTATGCATCAGAAGGGCTCATTTGACCTATTAAAACAACCCTAAGAAACCATTTTTAAAAACAATAGCTAAAATCAGTTTAGCTTTCAGAAACTTGATTTCATATAAAGGTAAGTTTTCAAAAAAATTACACAGAGGCGATGTTACAAACATTAGCCAGAAAACGGCAAAAAACTCTAGAATGTGCAACAAGAAAAATAGAAATGCCTCGAATTTGTAAAACTTTTGTTTTGGGTCGGATTCGAACATGTGACCACGACAATTAGAGTCTCCCGTTCTCGCATTTGCATTACGGGCCCCTGAAAGAATAATTACAGAAGCCACTAACGAAACAGCTATAGATGCTTATAAATTGCCAAAGATATGCAGCAAATGCCACCAAATATATATAAAACTTGTGCACAGATCGGCGTTGAACCTCCGACCAGAATAATAGGTGCCATGCGTCCTTCCATATGTGCTAAGGTCACAAATAAAGCAGAATTTCCAGTGCTACAGATTGGTATGAGCAAACACTAATACACTACGCTCGCTAGATTAACAGAGGCGAAGCTTCGCTTCGCAAGCACGACAAAAACCAGCTCTATAAATTGCAACAATAAACATAAGAAATAAGCCTCGAATTAATAAGCCTCGGCTACCTCTAAGATTAGTACCAACGACCTAGTGACCAGGAGACACACTAACCATTCAGCCACGGAAGCTTAATAGGCTCCAAATACTACCCGCTACAAATAAAGAAGAGAACAGGTGCTATGCAATTTCCAATTCTACAGTGAAATTTCAAATAAGAGAATACTTTTATCGTAAGCTTTTATTTGCGAATTAGGTTAGAAAAAAAAGAAGGTTCATTATAACACACTAAGATGACCGCAAGTTTCAAAACGGTCTACTCATAGTTATTTCACGAAACTGAAAAAGAATTGAAAAATTTTAGTTTTCGAATTTAATGACATGCACTACTATTAGCCTTTAAAATTCGCTTCTAACGAGAGGAAATTTAGTAAAAAGCTGCTGAAGTTTCAGCAATGGAGACGCATTAATCCCGAAATTTATACAATGGCTAAGTTGCACTTCGCATACACTTCGCTACTTGGAAAAGCTGAATGAGTAAAACTTTCAATATCTCAAGTGACGCACGCCAACTAAGAGTCTACATAATTGCTAAGTGAAGCAAGCCAATTATGACGAATTAGCAGTACCAGTCAATTTGAAAAGAAATTTACCAACTAACATGCCTCAATTTATAGAGCGGACGCATTTTAACTAGTATACGAAAAAGTTCATTAAAAACATCCGACCCTGCCCAGGTTTGAACCCTCTTATTTTGCTGCTGGTGTCGTTCCCTACCTCTACGCTACAGAACCATGATACCTGAAAGCTAAAGTGCTATTTGTAAGATAATAGTCTGTGGTAATATCCTTAGCATTGGCTGTACTTAATAGCTGGATCAAAATGGAAACTTTCAAAATAAACACATTTGGGACTTAGGTTCATACTATGACACAAGCTATACTTGTGTAAACACAAGCGAAATGGGGCTTCACGTCAATTGCTATACAAAAATATACCATTTATCGGGGTAATCCAGCGAACCTCTAACAAACTTGATAGACGCTCATCTGACAAAATCAAACAGTACGGAAGAACCAATTGGTAAAATTAAAAAATGAATTATGCAACCAGATAAAATCATGAATTCATGATTTGATTAAGGGCGTTTTTCTACTTCCTTCACCCCCACCATTGAACTTTAGGTTTTAAAAAACTACTTTAACAGTGCCATAATGCAATGAAACTTGGCATGATGAACAAACTAACATTGTGAACAAATTATTTCAGCATACCTTAAATCGTAAATTTGCAATTTTCGCCATATTACACGTAAGACCAAAAAATATATAAAATTGCGACGAAGTGGCAATAAACTGATTCTCGCAAATGAAGAAATGAAGACAAGGCTTGATGCAATGCTTTTTGATGACTGGAAATACCAAAAAATAATGTTCTATAAGTTCATAACTTTGCCTTGAATGATGTTCTATTTGAATTAAATATGTCGAGAAACACAATTGTCAGCGTTAAATAAGAAAATTTAAAAAAAACTACGGAGCTGCAACTAAATTAGCACAACTTGCGTAGATGCCATTTGAACCAAAAACAACATTGTAATAAATAAATTCAGCCCCCCCCCCCCCCCCCCCGAATCTGGAAAACAAAAAGGACAATCATTTTTCTAATCAAACAGCGCGATATTGGAGTATGTCAATATAATCGATATAACAAAAGCCGAAACTATTCAATTCGAAAAACATTTCAAGCTAAAACAAAACGAAAACGGGCGACTATCCAAAATCAGAGTGAATCAAATCTAGTTTTAATTATAGAGAAAAATGTTTCAATCACAAAAAATTTCACGACGGTAACAAGTAAGCCGACAAAAAATAAGCGAAGGATAAGCCAACATTTTCATTATTACCAAAAAATTTTCTGGTAGAATTAAAACTCAGGATCTTTGCCTCAGGCGCTATGTTCTGATGTGATAATCGCAGTATAATTACTAATCGCAAGCACAAAATAACATGTCAAAAGGGAGCACTCAAAATGCAAAAACCATTTGAAAGAAAATTACCTGCAAATTACAACCGCTTTGAAAGGGGTTTGAAAATCGGACATCCTATCCAAGAGTCAGTTGCATTTACCACTAATCCACTACCGCTTGTAATACACTACCCTCAAATGTGGCCGATAAATGCTTTTTATTTAAGCAGATATAGGTAATGATGCTTGAAATCGCAAAAAGAAAATAAGCTGCCCAAAGAAACTGAACATAAGAATCAAACAAGAAAATTGCTACTGTATATTTAAAAAATAGAATGATCATCTACACAGAGGCGAAGCTGAGCCTCGCAACATTTGCGATACAATTCAAAACACTTCATTCCAAGCTAAAAAAAAAGTTACTTCAAAAAAACCAAAAAATTGCAAAAAAAGTTTCACACCTTTGCTTCGGATGATGTTCATAAACAACCTTAACACTCAATGAGGTTGTTAAGGTTTTTAGAATCAATAATCGAGCGACAACTAAGGCGAAAAAAAATTGGGTCGACCAAAATGTTACCAAAAAAACTAGAACAATTTCAAAAATTATAAAATTTCAAGGCGATTACTTTTTCATTTAAAAAATTACGGCAACAACAGTTGTGCAGCAAAGATTCACAATCTGTTCTTTCAATTATACCCTTAACCTCAGATTTGACGGAGTTTCTAAAAAAAAGAAAATGCTTTCAAAAAACGGTCAAAACTCTTTTCAACCAAAGCATATGCAGGGGAGATCCCCAGAACACACTCTTTTGATTGAGTAATCTCAGATTTGTCTCGGTACTGAAAAAGTAAAGTAACCTAAAAAAGTGGTCAAAATCACCTTCCCACAGAAACTTCTGAAGTCTTAGAACGCCCTGTGAAGAAAAATGGAATATCCAAGCACACAAGGAAGTAGCCGGTCTCTCTATTGATAATATATGTATTTGAAAATCGGTAAAATAAATCGAGAAAAGTTCCAATTTTTGCGAAAAGTGCAAAAACTCATTAGCGTCTCAAAAAAAATAAAAAACAAATCGAATCCCAGACATTTTCAAAGTATCTATGTTTTATCAAACAGGAATTAGCCAAAAATAATCCAGATACATTAATAAAAAGCTATGGAGCAAAATTCAACCAGATATAAATATGCGAAGGTTCCGCCAAATAATGAACACCTTTATCTGCGACTTAAGTTTGGAAAAAAGTGGATTCCGTAAAATACTACTGCACAAAACGAAAATCCTACGACCCATCCCTACTGAAACAGTCCAAAGCAATTCAAAAAACTACGCATCAAAAGTTGACTAAGCCGATATAACATAGGTCGAACCCGTTTAATCGAAATCTTTTTAAAGATCAGAGATGACACAGAAGCGAAGCTGCGCTTCACAAACAATAGCAAAAATACGACAAAAAAAAACTTTAAAAAGAGTTGAGCAAAAAAGACGACGTGATCTTCAAGGAATGTGGTTGTTCTTATAACGATTTCTGCTTCAGAGCTGGTCAATTGTGATGAAATAAAAACACAAAAGACGAAGCTGAAAACAACAAATATTTTATATAACTTTATTGAAGGTTTTTTGTAGCAAGGAAAGATACTAACAACACGAGTTCCCGTTTGAAGTCATCATTCACCAGGTCATTTGACTCAATAGCCTCCAGCAGGTCATCATTTCTCACACACTGGGAACTGTCCAGGGGCTCACACGTGACATCCATCCTCTCAACCCACTCCAAATTATGTTCACGCAACTCAGTTGTCAGACGCTTGATGCTGTCTGCGTCATAGATGGGTTTCTCCAGCATCGGAAGCTCCACGTTCAATCCCGGCTTCAGAAGCCCACTTTCGAGCGCTACTTGCAGCTGAAAGTAAAAAAATACATAGAGGCAAAGCAGCAATTCGCAAACGAAACCGACTAAAACTGGCTTTAAAAAGCAAAATGAGCAAAAATAGGCCGTGAAAAATAAAATTTTCGACATGTACCGCAATTAAACTTAAGCTGCCACCAATAACGCGGATAACACTATTAAATTGCCAATGTTATGCAGCAAAAATGGTAACAAAATGAGCACTATTTTATACGAATTGGATTAGAAAAACAGATGGCTCGTAATATTACACAATACTTTTGAAATCACTTGAGTAAAAACGAGAATAGACCGGTAGCACAATATCCTCTGAACGTACCTGTCGATGTGCATGCAAATCACTAGCTGCGAACGGGATGGGCGCCTTTTTCAGGAATTCTACCCTCTCATTAACCCAAGGATCCCCTATTATAGGGTTCCGTATTTGACTCGACCAAGAATAAAAGTTTTTTAAAAATATATATGGAAAAAATTTGAGGTAAACGCGTCAAAAACAGGAAAAAAATCGAATAATCTGCAAATGAACATAGCCAACAGACAGTTGGAAAAGAGCCAATGAACGCAAGTAAACAGAAAAAATACACACTAGCAAAAACACTTTGATTTTCTAGAACAATTTAAGACTAGCACTTCTTGATAAAACTGTATCAATAAATAAAATCTTCATTTCGCTGGGAAATCTGAACATTAAAATCCCCTTTCGAAAATAGAAGTAGATCAAATTTTTGTAATTTTAAGACTTTCGCTGTTTGAAAGTAGTTTGACTTCTTTTAGACCAAGAAAATGAGCGGATTTATAAAAAAAATTAAAAGTCAAACGGCGAAAAAGTAAATTTGACTTTTCCTGGAAAACGAAAAAAAAATCATCACCATCTATAAAAGAGATTGAACTACGTTCACCAACTCTTAAAAAAGAACTTCAGCGTCGCAACTGAGCGTCGCAACACGTGCGGTACAAAAATGAATAACAATGATTAAAATCAAACGAAAAAAAAATAAATTGAAAAAAAAAAAAATTCACAAAACCGTTTTTGATATTAAAAATTGGAGCAAAAGCCCAAAATAAGCAAAGCAATTACCTGTACCATTGAAATTTATACAAGAAGCTTTCGGAATGATAAAAAGAAGTCCAATTTTTAAAACAGTCCTTTCAGCGGAAATAAGCAGACAGACAATAATCTAAATTAGCCGAAAACTTTCAGTTTCGAAAAAAAACAGGTTTCGACTGGAATCGAACACCCGGGCTTTGTGGTCTTAAGCGTGGATTTTACAGCTATTAGGAAGAAATTTGAAAAAATGAACCTTCGAAACAAAGTCGGGTTACGGGAAGTAAGAAGACAAAAATAGACAGACGGACGATAGTCAGAAAAAGCACAAAGACTCTATAAAAAAAACTGGTCCCGGTCGTATTCGAACAACAAGAATAAGCCATCTCGATCAGTCGTGTTAGCTCTACGTCTGATGAGCCGGTCGGTTGATAGAATTCGAATTTAAAATTACCAAGCGGTAACAAAGCCAAAAATATCTGAGCAGAAACCCTTGACGACGAAAAAAAATCAAATTAATTTTAAAAAAAGTCCCCTTTCCCCTCAGAACGCACAAACGCACACATTTTTTTTGTTCTCAAACGACGCAAAAGGAGGCCACTAGTCGATAAAAACCGAAACCAATTAAGCCAAAAAAAGACGATCCTTAAAAACAAAAACTTAACAAATCGAGTTGGTAAAATTACAACCAATGTAAAAATCAATTATCAATTGGACCAGATTTTTAAAATGCTAAAACACTAGACACAACTACCATAAAACTAGTTTACTGCAAAAATAAAAGATTCGTAGATGTGGCAACTAAGCCGACAAAATACAAGCAGACAAATATTATGCCGACCAAGTTGATTCAGAAAATTTCCGTTCGAAAAAAACAGGCCCTGGTCAGATTCAAACCAAAGACCTTTAACGTCCCAAGCGTAATCGTTACCTCCAGGCCAAAGGTGAAGAGCGAATTCAAAACTTGAATTCATTATGAAACAAGATACCAACAAGAGTCCAGATGAGAGACAGGAAAGCACACAGAGGCGAAGCTGAGCTTCGCACCATTTGCGATACAACTAGATCTATCAAAATAACAAGATAACTGACAAGACAACATGCCCAAACAACATAATGCAAAATCAGCATCGGAAAAAAATTAACCAAGCGCCGACAAAGCCAAAAATATCTGAGCAGAAACACTTCAAGCCCAAATTTTTTAATCAAAAGTTATTTTAAATTTTTACATCACCCTTACCCTCATAACATATACAGGCATCACAAAAATATTGTGCCGTAACAAACGACATAAAAAAGAGGCTACTAATCCGATATGAACAGAGGCGAAGTTGCACTTCGTATACACAAGCAAAAATATGACCGCTAAAGCTACTAGGAAAAACTGAATGAGTAAAACTTTGAGTCTACAAAATTTCTTAGGTAACGGACGCCAACTATGAGTCTACATAATTGCTAAGTGACGCAAGCCAATTATGACGCATTAGCAGTACCAGTCAATTTGAAAAAAAAACTTACCAACTAACATGCCTCAATTTATAGAGCGGACGCATTTTGACTAGTATACGAAAAAGTTTATAAAAAACATCCGACCTGGCCCAGGTTCGAACACTCTTACCTTGTTGCGAATCTCCTTCCCTACCTCTACGCTACAGTCTATGATACCATGAAGCTAAAGTGCTATTTGTAAAAAAAATATAGTCTGTGCACAATTCTTAGCATTAGCTGTACTTAATAGCTGGTTATTGATCAAAATGAACATTTTCAAAATGAACACATTTTGTCGTAAAAATAGTTGCGTCGCAACAATATTTGCCATCTAGGTGGGAAAAAAGAGAGTTCATAATATAGCACAAGCTTTGCTGGTGTAAACAAGTTGAAACCTATTAAGCAGAAAAAAATGAAATTTCAACGGTGCGTGCGGGAACGTAAAAATTGTGCTGTCCTTGAAACGACCCAAAATTACATCGCAAAGCCAATCACAAATAGGCCAAAATAATTTGGGCCAAATAGATTTATTAAGCGAAACAGAAAAAAAGGAAATACGAAGTCAAGGTAAGTAAAATTACAAGTAAATCAAGCACTAGAAGCACCATTAAAAAAAGCGCGGAACAAAAAATTTGGCAAGTATGCCGACAAACGATAAGCAGACAAATAATATGCCGACAATTTTATTTGAATTATTAAAACTTTTCCCGTTTGAAAAACAGGGCCAAGTCAGATTCGAACCAAGGACCTTTGAGTCCAAGGCGTGTTCGTTACCTCCATGCTAAAAAAACCGGGAACGCTAAGAAATCTAACTTGATTATGAAACAAGGTTCCACTAGAGAAGACTCCAAATGAGATGGAAGAAAGTCTAATACCCGATTGCAATACCCTTTTGTTAATAATTTTTTACCTAGAGAGAGGGAGAAATCATTTTTCACCTAGAGAGAGAGAGAGAGAGAGAGAGAGAGAGAGAGAGGGAGGGAGGGAGGGAGGGAGGGAGAGAGAGAGAGAAAATTGAAAAAATTCTCAGACAGCTTTGATTGGTTGGAAATTCGTTCTGAAACATCTTAGTCTGAAATATTATTTAACAGAAAAACGAAAAAATGCAGACCACACAGACTACCTGTTCCAAATTTATAAGAGGCCGAATCACGGCTGAAACGTTAATTATGATACCACAATTTGAAGTTGCCTTTCTCTGAGGAAGTCACATTCAGCTAGAAAAAAACAGACCCTAGCCAGTCCTTCCCACTCAGAGAAACTGCTCGGAACAATAATATGCTGAAAACAACGGCATATGCAATGTGAGTACGAATAGACATGTAGAGGATGGCAACGCAATTAAAAATCCAGCCTAAAAACTTGTTAGAACCTGTTGTGTATCTATTTTAACGTGCACAAAAACGTAATTTTGAAGAAACACTCTTTCTGCAGAGCCAAAACGTAGCTTAGGTGCAATTCAACATACTATTACAAAGACAAACTTGGAAGACCAAAACAATTCGCACAAAGATGGACTTAAAAAAGTAATCTGTTGCCTATTTCACTTCAGCTGCAACTAAAAGACTTGTTACTCTTTAATAAGTTATTGCATGAACACTATGATAATAATTGTTAATGTCTGGGCGATTGAATCTCTTCAATATACATCAAATTACAGTATTAGAGATGGAAAACCAAGATTTGAGATTCCTTCTTTTTACAGCGGATTGTAAGCATAGAAGATCACCTGCACAAAGTTAGTTCATTGAACATTGTTGCGAAACCTCCTGGTACTTCCAAGCTGCAGCTAAAATTGCTTCAAGAAATGCCTCATCTCCAATTGTGACAAAAACTCATGCAAAAGACATTGTTTCTGTTCTTGCTAAATAGTATTTTTACTTAAATTTATTCCTTAATAAAACTCAACTTTTTTATTGATAATGGAGTAGAAGCAATTTAAACTCTTTATTTACAACTACTACTTACTACTCTTTTATCGATCTATGATTTTAACCTCGTGTTTCCATTGACCTTTCTGAAAACTGGCCGGAAATTTGGTCTCTGATGACAATTTCTTCGAGAAGAGGCCAAAAATTCCGTATGGAAGTAGTGACAAATAATTTGCATCTTTTCTTGAGCAAACTTCTCTGCACCACAGAAATGACTTGACAGAAATCGAAAGCATCCTCGGATTAAGTTAAAGGGTCGTCGACCAAAAATGGATGCATTGAAGTAATATCAAAAAAGACTCCTTTGACGCTAAGAACAAAGAGGAAAACTCTGGGATAGCATAAAACTTGAATGATTATGAAATGATTTGGACAGTGATTGGAAACTAGGCATTGCATCCGCGGTTTGCGAAAAAATATTATTTGCTGACCTCTGTTTCCGAGTCGACGTCGGCTGGTTCCTCCTCTGAAGTCTGTCCCCACCCTCCCTCCGCCTCGGCCCCTTCCTTCCCCTCCCTCTCCCGCTCCTCCGGGGCTATTCCGTCATCCTGGTAGTTGGACGTCATCGCCTCCAGCACATCCTCTCTCGCCTGTTTGATGCCACTGTACTCTCGCTTCCTCTTCTTCGCCATTTCAACCCTCTACTCTCATCATTAAAACCTGAAACGAGCAAGTAAAATAGAAGACCGAATAGCCAACAAACAAGAAAAACTTGCAACGAAATGATTTAACTTCACAACAAATTTCGAATTACTTTTAACAGACTTGAATTACGTATTGACTTGAATTGAATCTCACTGGACAACACTTCGCAGCCGTGCGTTTCTGTAAACATTTAAAGCTGCCAATACCTGGACGTTACAATGCATTCATCGTTGCAGACATTTACCAATAATTGAAAGGAACAATTCGAAACAAAAACCAAGAAGATCCGGCTGATATTTTTAAGCCTTAAATGATGCCATGGTATGAAAAAAATTCAAATGAGAATTTGTGCCAAAAATAATGCATCGACATTCCATCTCAATAACTCTTAAACAAAATTCCATACATAAGAACTGTCATTCAATACAAAGTTGTAGAAGCACAGCAAATTTACGTTCCGACCATTGAAAATGGGAACTTTTGCCTTCGGGTGTATTTTAGTGTTTCCTTTTAATTTTTTTCCACGAAAAATCAGGTACCACAAATAATCATCGGAATGAGTGCAGTTATGAACCAGATAAAAACATTTTCAGTCCTGATTCGAAAGAATTCAAAAACTTCAAAAAAAAGCCCCAGTGATGAGTTTTCGCTTTACCCGCTCGAAATTAGAGTAAGGACTTCATTTGAGTAGTGAAAACTTAGTTCTGGTTTCTCACTAGAACTAAGTTTTTCAAAATAACGAAGGTCAAACTGGTTTTGGAAGAAGCTTCAAGTATCATTTTTCGGCCATAGTGTTTAAAAAATATAAAAAATTCTGCAAAATCGGAAAATAAAAAAAAATCGCTTTGTTTGTTGTTGATTTTTCGACGGAAACAGTTGGTGATTATCTCAATTCACAAACCTTTTGCGTTTTTGTTTAGTTGTCTCATCAGTGAATTAAAGAAGATTCTGAAAACAGGGTCAGGTTGAACACTTAACCTCAGAATTGATACGCTAGTTATCGAATAAATCAAAAAAGTTTCAACAAACGGTCAGCGTTTCAAAAGTATGACTGGTCTGAAGGCCCTAACGATTTACAAAATAAAAACTGGGCTCTCAAAAACAGGCAGACTTTCAACAACCTGTTTTGAAAACCTATGACATCAGATTTGGCAGGATAGTTATCCAGAGAAGTCCAAAAACGATCATCGAATCAAAATTCGACCTTTTCGAGAATCATAGCTTTTCTTTTAAAAAAAATTGGCCACTTTTGCAGAAAAACTCCAGTAATCTGTAATTTCGATTGAGCCCGAACACTCTAATATGGAGAATAGTTCTTGAAAACAAAGTACTCAAAAATTAGTCAAAAATCAAACTTTTGAACTTTCCAGCGGCCATGATTTTTTGGTGTCAAAAAAATTGGGCGTAATCGCGTATGCAAAGGAATTTTCCATAACCCGTTCTTTTGATTCAACTCAAAATCAAATGGGTGAGCATTTTTCGAGAAGATTCAAAAAAGTTTTAAAAAAATGGTCGAAAACACGAAAATTTGAATTTTTCAGGGCGATAACTTTTTGTGTAAATTTTCTGTGAGTGGCCACTAAAGCAGGGAAAATTCCCACTACCCGTTATCTTCTTGAAACCACCGTATCAGATGTAAGCGGTTGGTTTTCGAGAAAAATTTAAAAAATTCATTAAACGGACAAAAGTTTTCAAAAACGGCCTGAAGACTTTCTAAATTTCGAATAGTTTTTTTTTCGTTAAAAAATAGGTTGTGGCGATTTAAGCAGAGAATATCCTTAAAACCGGGTTTCTCGATTGAACACAACCTGAGAATTGAATTTGCACGGTAGTTTTCGCTTAAAGTCAAAAAATTACCAAAAACTGTCAAAGTTTCAAAACTTTATCTTGTTAAAGTACATAAATTTTTTCTCAAGTAAACTGGTCATAGCCAATTTTGAAGTTAGGCTATCGACAGCATGTTGTTTTGATTAAACCTATGATATCAGACTTGGCAGGATAATTAGCGAGAAAAGTCCAAAAAACGGTTAGCAAATCGAAAACTTGACAAACCGAGAATCATAGCTTTTTGTGTGAAAAAACAGGTAGTTGCCGCTTATGCCGAAGGGACTCACGCAACCTGTTATTTCCATGGGAAGGTAGTTCTCCCGAAAAGTCAAAAACTTCTTCAGAAAAGTCAAAAACCGATAAAAAAACAAAATTTTGACTTTTCAGATGACCACATTTTTCGGTGTCAGAAAAACTTGAGCGTAGCCGCATAAACAATTGAGCTTCTAATAACCCGTTTTTTGAATTGAACCCAAAATCTCAGATATAGCAGGAGATTTTTTGAGAAAGTTCAAAAAGTTTAGCAAACAGTCAGAAAAACCAAAATTTGACTTTTCCGATGGCGATAACTTTTTGTGTAAGATCTTGTGAGCAGCCGCTAATGCAGATGAGTTTCGCATTCGCACTACCCGTTCATTCAAAAGAAGCCACGATATCAGATTTGAGAGTTTAGTTTTCGAGAAATGTCAAAAAGATTCACACAATGCTCAAAAATCAAAAATTTGACTATTCCGAGGGCCATAACTTTGTGTGAAAAAATGGGCGTAGCCGCATATGCAGGAAGCTTATCAACGCCGTTATATTCATTAAAATCAAATACTCAGTTTAGAGAGGGACATTTTTCGAGGGGTAGTTTTGAGAGTGGCAGAAAATGAAAAAACAACGACAACTTCGAGGGAAATTTCTCCTAGGAGAAGCCCATTGCCAAATTGGTTCAATGATTCCCCTACAGACTTTTTCGAAGGCTGTAGACATAGGGGTCAACTAAAAAGAGACTCTGGCTGCGTATGTAGGGACAGAGGGGAGCAGAGGTCTTTCAGTTGGTACACTTTTTTGAAAATCAGCAGATGGTTCTGAGGAAAACTTTAGTTTTTCCAATAAATTTGAAAATAGTTTTCCATAACCAAAAAAAGAAATTCAACAAACCGATTGGTTAGCATACAATCAATTTGAAAAGTGCACAGGTGAGTGTTAAAATTAGGTTTCTCTCGAAACTATCTAAAATAAATGCATTAGGCCGATGAAAATTGGGCCGAAATAGTTTCAGCCCAAGAATTATTTTTAGTGGAACAAAAAAAAAACAAAGAAGGCAATACGAAGTCAAGGTAAGTAAAACTACAAATTGTAGTACATCAAACACTAAAAAGCAACAAAAAAATTGCTGGCAGCAAAAAAACTATTCCAAGATGCGACAATTAGGACGACAACAGATAAGCAGACAAATAATTGGCCGGCAATTTTATTTGACAGAATATTTCCCGTTTGAAAAAATAGGCCCTGGTCAGATTCAACACTGGAACTTTGCCCTCACAGGCACATTCAATATCTCCTGGCTAAGTTGACCGGGAACGCATGGAAGTGATTCTGTTAAACAAGTTGCTAACCCGAGAAAAAAGTCTATATCCCGGTTTGACAACGCTTGCTAATCGCAAGCGTAAAAAATAGAAAATACTTTTGAAAAAAATAAGCGAAAAAGAAAAAAGGTCATTTTTTCAAAGAAAAATCAGCTAAAAGTAACATGAAAAAAGTCCAAAACTATCTACAAAAATTTCAAAAGACATAATTCTCAAGCAGCCTTAACAAGAATTGAGATCAATGACAGAGCGGCAACTAAGGCAAAAAAACTTGGGTAGACCCTCGTAAGACCGAAATTGAAACTGTAGACATCAAAAATATTCCAGCTATGAAATTTTTGAATTAAAATTTTCCATACTTATCCCTCCTGAAACAGGAAAAGGATGACAAACAATTGGATTTTGAAACTGCGCAATATAAGTTGATTTGCAATGTAACTAAAAATTTGTATTACAAGATATTGAATAGAAAAAGGAAGTCTTTTTTTTTCAAAAAAATTAAGCTGAAAAAAAACTCAAAGTAAAAAAAATGTGTTTTAAAATTTCATAGTTTGGTCTCGGACGATGATCATAGACAGCCAAAAAATAACTAAACAAAAGTGGAAAAAATCAATCTACCAAAAAGTTCATAGCTTTGTCTCGGACGATGTTCATAAACAGCCCTAACATGCATTGAGAATCAATGACCGAGTGGCAACTGAAGCGAAAAAAACTTGGGCTAAAGCTAAGCCGAAAACAAAACAGTGCAAAATTTTCACGGCCAATTCCTTCTGAAACAGGCAACAACATTCAAAACAATTCGCTCTCAAAACTGCGCAGCATAAGTTGACCAAGCCAATATAACATACGCCAATCCCGGTTTACCAAAAAAAAGCAAAAAAAATTAATAATTAAAAATCATAGTTGGTAAAAATACAAACTCCGCAGCAACTTTTACACAAGTTCGCACCACTTGCAATTGAACACAAACTTAAAAACACAAGAAATAAAAATATGGCAAACGTTGAAAAAAACTAGTTCTACCAAAAAATGAAATTTTCGTATGTCTCGATAGAAGACCACGAAAAATAGCCGGCAATCTTTGATCAGACACAAGGTGGGCAGCAAAAAAAATTATAAACAATCTTTAGTTTTAAGTCCCACCTGAGACTAGAACGAAAAACACTAGCATTTTCGACTACAAAAGAAGTTGTCTACAGAGAGAGAAAAGAAAAATCTGAGAATCAGAGCTGTGACAACTAAGCCGACAATCTTTAAGCAGACACCTGTTGGGCCGAAAGTTGCTTACAGGTCAAACAAGAATTTTGATGTGGCAACTAAGCTGACAAAATTTTAGCAGAATAACGGAAGACCAACCGTTCAATTTTTACCAACTTTTTTTTTCAATTGGATATATAATAAAAAAAAGGTCGGACCGAGAGTCGAACCCCAGATCTTAGGGTACAAAAGCGACGGCGTTAACTCTAGGCCTAGTATGAAGGAATCTGGAGGTTGCGAAGTTTCAATAAAAAAGCAAGTTGAAGAAAAGTTAAAACGTGTAAGAAAAGTTGTTCGCTAGAAAAAGTGTTGTTCCCGATTTCAAGACACTAGCTCTCGCAAGTGTAAAAATAC